CAGTACAACTCATTACATTTATTATTATGTGATGGGATGTGACTTTATCCAGGTTTAGTCAGTCCACAACCTGTCCCCATGATATGAAGGCCTTGTTTTAATTCTAAATGAAAAGCTTGTTTCACTATGATAAATGATAAATGCACACCTAGTTACCATTATATCAGTCACTTTTTTTACCAACAAGCTCACCCCAACATTAAGGCATTAAAATCCCAGGGTGAAACATTTTCTGTACTAAAAGTTAAACCTCAGATCAAAAACAGCAGCAAGCATCAAGCTACTATACGAGTTAGTAACAATATCAGGAAAATCATAGAACAACAGGGAGATCGGCTATACATCAGTTCGTTTAGTTGCAAAGTTTATGATCAATTTCATGTAAAACGATGCAACAACTGCCAAGGTTTTGGACACTACAGGTCGGAGTGTGAATCAGAAAAAGCTATTTGTGGTTATTGTTCCAAGAATCATACGTCAGAAGATTGTCCAGAAAAGAAAACTAATAGCATTATTTCATGCTGCATTAACTGCTCTAAGGGCAAGTATCGGGATGAAAGAAACACACACACGGCATTTGATAGGACATGTCCAGCTTATGTTGCTGAACAGCAGCATCTCCGCAAAACTATCAATTACTACAGTTCAAAAAACTTGTAAGCAGTGGTCTGAAATCCTCTCCGGCGGAGATTCTTGGCTGTTGCTGGAATGTGAGATCTCTCAATAATAAGATTCAACCAATCATGGAATCTATAATCGACCAAGGAATCTCTGTCCTTTTTGTCACTGAGACTTGGCTCACCAGCATGAAGAATGATGTTACTGCTACCATCAAGTCTTACGGCTATAACTTGATTCACTACATCAGGAAAGACTCTGCTAAATGCAGAGGCGGAGGAGTTGGAATTATTTACAATTCAAGTGATTTGAACCTTACTCCTGTGTTTGATAAGTGTGGAGATACGTTTGAAGCAGTTTTAGGCAAATTTCGAGACTCATCGGGTGATACTGTCCTCTGTGCTTGTGTTTACCGACCAGGGTCATTGACTGATGTATTTTTTGAAGATTTGGATGAGTTTATTGGGAACATATTCATGAAATACAAGAAGTTTTTAATCTGTGGTGATCTTAATATTCATTTGGATGATCATAAATCAAGAAACACGGCCAAACTGACTGAAGTATTGGCCAGCTATGGACTGCATCAATACGTGAGAGATCCAACTCACAACAAAGGACATATTCTGGATGTTGTAATCTCCTCCCATCAGATAGTCAATCCAAAGAGTGTCACAGTAGACTCACACACCTCGGAAATGTTCCCAAACTGTGACCATTTCCCGGTTACTTTTAGCCTCACAAAAACAGTTGCAAGCAATCTCAACAAGAAAAAAGTTATCACATTCAGAAATGTCAAAGAAATTGACAAAAATTGTTTTGCGGATAATCTTGCTGAGGAATTGGTTACTGTAATGGATCCTGAGGGTCTATCACAAGCTGAAATGCCGTCATTTGAAAGCCGCATCAGCCTATACAACTCTAAGTGCCTAACTGTGCTGAATAACCATGCTCCTCTCCTCACAAAGGAAATCAAAGAACGTAAGTCTGCCCCTTGGTTCGATGGTGAATATAAAGCACTTAGAAGCCAAAGAAGAAAAGCCGAGACAAAGTGGAAAATCTCCGGATCTTTAACTGACAAGAAACACTATGAATCAATCAGAGAGCAGTGCACAGAACTCTCAGACAGGAAGAAACATGAGTTTTTCAAAGTCGAATTCATAAAGCATTCCTATTCTTCTAAGAGTCTTTTTAGATTTGTGGACACCTTTCTTGATCGGGATAAAAGCATTGTGTTGCCTTCGTCGGAGTCTCTCAAGGACACAGTCGAAAACTTTAACGTATATTTTCAGGAGAAAATAAAGGCAATACGAAATAACTTTGATCATGTGGAGTCTGACGATCAAACGCCCTCTTACTGCGGAGAAAAACTAGCTGAGTTCTCTCCAACTACTCTAGAAGAACTAGAGGAGATAATCAAGGCATCTGAGATCAAGTCTTCTTCAATTGACCCTCTACCTGCAAACATCTTTAAAGAAAACCTTGAGGTTCTACTACCCGTCTTAGTTGACATAGTAAATGCTTCATTATCTTCTGGCAGTATTGATGGCGCTAAACTAGCTCATATCACACCCCTGATCAAGGGCCAGGGATTAGATAGTGATAATCTCAAGAATTACAGACCAATATCTAACCTTAGTTTTGTGGGCAAGTTGATAGAAAGAGTAGTGCTCAGGCGTCTAAATGAACATCTAGAAAACAACAACCTGAACATCCCACAGCAGTCTGGATACAAATCAAAACACAGCACCGAGACTCTGCTTGTGAGAGTTGTTAACGATCTACTCATTGCATCTACAGAAAGCAAGGCAACTGTTGTTCTTCTCCTAGATCTCAGCGCAGCTTTTGATACAGTTGACCACTGCAAACTACTGAACATCCTCAGAAATGAGTTGGGAATAACAGGGACAGCTTGGAAATGGTTCAGCAGCTTCCTCACAGGTAGATGTCAAACGATTAAAGTTGGAAATGAGGAATCTTATGAGATAGTGATTAAGTTTGGAGTCCCACAGGGCTCTGTGCTGGGTCCGGTCCTGTTCAACATCTACATTCGCTCTTTGTACTCAGCAGCACATGATTTGAACTTCTCCATCCAGGGTTACGCCGACGATCATCAGCTGTATAAAAGTTTCAAGCCAAACGAGGAGCCCACCGTCCTTATCAACGATGTTCCCAAATGTTTCCAAGAAATTAATGACTGGATGAAAAAACATTATCTACAGCTCAATGCAGGAAAAACTGAGATTCTTGTCTTTGGGACACCGCTTGTCCTCCAGCAGCTGTCTATAGGGGGCGTGTTTGTTAACTCTGAGACGTGTGTCAGGCTGTCACCTGTTGCAAAGAACCTCGGATTTCGTCTCGACTCTCAACTAAACTTTGGTGAGCAAATCAAGCAACTTAAAACATCCTGTTTTCTGAAACTAAGAGACCTTGCTAAGATGAAAACATTCCTCACAACCAAACAGATGGGAACACTGACTCAAGCAATTGTAATCTCATCGCTTGACTACTGCAATGCACTTTACTATGGTTGTAGTCAAGCCTCAATTACGCAGCTGCAGAACATTCAGAACCGAGCATGCCGTCTGGTTTTTGGATTAAAGAAGAGAGACTCAGTCGAGGAGAAGCTCAAATCCCTTCATTGGCTCAAGGTGAAGGAGAGGATTGAGTTTAAGTTATGCTTACTGATTTTCAAAGCAGTCAATGGTGTTGCTCCTGCATATCTGTGTGATCTAGTAACATTTGTTAGTTCGAGTAGCAGAAGAACTTCCTCCTTACACCTACCCGTCGGATCTACAAGATCACACCCAAGAGCGTTTCAGACTGTTGCTCCGAAAATCTGGAACCAACTACCAATTGAAATTAAGACTTGTTCCGATGTTGATCTGTTCAAAACATTATTAAAAACTCACCTGTTTAAGAAAAGTTATGGCATGAGCGATTAATTGACAATATAATAACTTTATGTTATTTGCTTAAACTGTTTAGGATGCAACCTAATGTCATGATCTTTTTGAACTTATTAGCAATTAGACTGTTAGCTCGCTTCACAAGCATGTCATCTTCGTTCCAAAACTTTTTATGTCCTATGCATACACTCCTTGATAGTTATCTTGATCTAGTATCTTTGTTTCACACAATAGAGCATAAGTTTTGTGGTTTATCCACTGGGCTTAGAGTTTGTGTTTAAGCTACCAAATTTTATTATTATTATTATTATATATAAGAAGACCCATTTTGCCCTATGTTTGGGACAGATATTGATACACGTCGTATGCCTCTTTTCACGCAAAGCGCGCTGCGGCCAAAGATAAGAGGTATACAACGTGTATCAAGACAGTGCAGATGTCACTTGCATCTTAAGTTTCCCTACCAGATTCTTATCGAGAGTAGGGGCCGACCTCTATTTTACCTCTCATATCACGCCCACTAAATACATTCGGTACACTTCTTTCAGGAAAAACCAGCCAGGGTAACTTCATTATATCCTGAACAGATTGTTTGGTATGACTGTATTGGATTTTCAGATATAATCTTTATCATCAGTTACTGTTCTGCAGTAAACTTCTTCAATCAATTTTTATTGTATATTGGAAACTTCAGATTGTTTGTATATTTGGAGTCTATAGAATTTCTATGGATTTTTTAAGGAATTTTTATTGAGTTTTTATAGAATTTTTAATATATCAGGGAATTTCATTTTCATAAACCTGATTTTTAAATTTGTTAGGCTGTTGAGTTTCATACTGCGATTTCTGTTAGAAAACCTGCTAACCCTTCTTGGATATCTGCTTGTTAGGTGCATCTGCCTTATTTAGTCACGTTATATTTTACAGTTTTTATCTCCTGTTTTCTGAACAGTTTCTTGTTCCACCCCCGTCTAAGGCAAAGATGCACACTCTCGTTAATTTAAGTATCTTTTACAGCTGTGCATAAGGGTTAAATTTAAATTATTTAACCTTTTGGTGCTGTATAAAAATAACATTAATTTATTATTATTATTATTAACTAAAAATAATGTGATACAAGAGACTTTCAAGTTTTAACCAGTCTCCCTCTGTGTTAGTGCTTCAAGGATTAACAGCTATCTGCATGAGGCAGATGATTAAGCATAGCCGGAGTGTGCATTTCACTTGCTGTCTTAACAATGACACACATTTACTTTGGTATAATCATGATCCTGGTGCGCTGACGAGCACAGCTTGAAAAGAACAGGACCAGCTATTGCGCTATTACAGCCAGGATCCCCCCATTTCTTACTATCCACCTCATCTCCTATATAGTCAAACTGTTTATTTAATTTCAAAACACAATTTTATAGAGGGTGGAGCTTATTTTAAAATTGCGTCAGTGCTTACATTACAATTAACACTACATAACAGGAAGTAAACATGCAACATCAATGGAGCCTCTAATTATCAAGTCATTATTTGGTTGTTTTTACTATGAAACTTCAGCAGAGAGCACTTGCAGTAGTTGTACTGATCGCCATAGTGTGGATTTGCTTATCAGTATTTAAGGTTAGTCAGTAATTGTAGTTTTAATCCAACATTGACAATGACAAGAAAGATGCAGATACAAACATTGGGTTTTATGATCAACATAATATTTTGAATTTAAATGTCTATCAAGTATGACTCTATTTTTCAGGTACACATTGATATTGAGATCGTAGGTGATGAGAAAGATCATGAAAAACTGCATAAAAAGGAAAGAAGTTCAAATTTAGTGAGTTCCTCGTTATAAATTCAATAAAAAGTATTATCTAAAATAACAGTAACCTACTATTTTAAATGAAACCAGCAATTGTTTCTTAACAATTTCATCTTGGTATTTGGTTCAGAGATTGAAACCAACGATTTTTCAGAGTCCAGCAAAGAACAAGCAACCACCACCACCCAGATTCAACAGACCCGTCAAGGACGACAACCCTAATGAACTTGTACCCCCTTTCATTGTTAGTTTTTGTGCTGTTTTATGATTACTGTGTTCTTCAATTGCTTTAATATTTAATAGTTGCTCTGTTTAAAGGAGGAGTAAACTTATTTTAATTTTTGTAAACTTATTTTAATTTTTGTATGACAGCTCACATTCTGCAGTCATTTGAACGTTTAAACTATCTTCTGTTTATTTTATCACCTCATTCGCAATGAATCATAAAATAAGTAATCACTCCATTACTCCATTTTAGTGATGTAATATGAATTATGATAACTGTTTGTTGAATAATGGTGTTTATTCCTGGCAGAAGATCTTTCCGAATACTTAAATGTATACTGATTGTATTGACATTAACTAACCTTATATTGTATTATTTTATAAAATCTTAGAGTAGTAATATTTTCCTTTTTGTAGGGTAAAAGAAACCTGGCACCTATCTACGTGCCATGGTCAGATTACGAGAGTCCATACAGAAAAGAAAAAGAAGATGAGCTTCACGAAACATACAGATTTAATAAATATTTAAGTGACAGACTTCCTATGAACAGGTATGATTTTATCACAGTTATAATGATTATCAGCTTATAGATAATAAATTTAATTGCTTTATCATGTAAAAATCATTTTACTTACCATCATATAATGACCTATTATAATCACCTTGGAGATAACTTCTTGGCTTCAGTCAATGGAGTCAACTGCCGTCTAAGATCTACTGTCTAAGATCTACCGTCTAAGAGCTCTATCACCACGCAACAAGGCCACGGGTCATCCAAGTCACGTGCGAGTGGAAAACATAAAAACAGTAATAACTGCACTACCGGTAATGATGGCACAGGAATACAGGGGAGAGAGAGTGAGAGAGAGAGAGAGAGAGAGAGAGAGAGAGAGAGAGAGAGAGAGAGAGAGAGAGAGAGAGAGAGAGAGAGAGAGAGAGAGAGAGAGAGAGAGAGAGAGAGAGAGAGAGAGAGAGAGAGAGAGAGAGAGAGAGAGAGAGACAGAGAGACACAGAGAGAGAGAGACACACAGAGAGAGAGAGAGAGAGAGAGAGAGAGAGAGAGAGAGAGAGAGAGAGAGAGAGAGAGAGAGAGAGAGAGAGAGAGAGAGAGAGAGAGAGAGAGAGAGAGAGAGAGAGAGAGAGAGAGAGAGAGAGAGAGAGAGAGAGAGAGAGAGAGAGAGAGAGAGAGAGAGAGAGAGAGAGAGAGAGAGAGAGAGAGAGAGAGAGAGAGAGAGAGAGAGAGAGAGAGAGAGAGAGAGAGAGAGAGAGAGAGAGAGAGAGAGAGAGAGAGAGAGAGAGAGAGAGAGTGAGAGAGAGTGAGAGTGCTGCTATCGCATGACTTAAATTATGGACTCGGGGCTACGTCTACATCACCCAGTGCAGCTGTCACATTGCATTCCTAAATCCTAATGAGTAACCAGGTCTGATCTATTGGGTCCCTCGCATAATGTCAGGTGTCAACAAATTACAGAGTATCGGAGGGACAAGCAATGAACTGGGATTGTTTAAGTAGGTGATGACAAACTAGAAGAAACCTAAATGTTGCATGTCCCTTAACAATGGGGGTATCCTCGTAATAGAGCCTTTGTAGGGTTAGCCGGGAACAGTTGTATGGTGGGAATAGGCTATGAGCTCGAGTCATTATGTGGGAACGTGAGAGTTAAATGTTGGGTTAATGAAGCCATGTTCTGTTGCCAGGGTATTGAACACGTTGTTAACGATATATATATATATAATAGTGAATTATGGAAACTATTGCGGATAATCAGATCTAGATGGTGATGATGTTTCAACTTGTTTCCCTTGTCAGTAGCCATATCGCTGTGCTGTGAGAATGAGGGATATTTAAACCCATAAAAAGTGTGTCTAACAGCTCTAACAGCGTGTCGGGTGTGTTGAACTGGGATGTAACCTGTAAAAATCATGTGTACAGAAATATTATTATCCTTGATATTTATCAATGTGTGTGACACAACGTGAGCTTGTGTCAAATTGAATTGAGTCTCAGAAAAACTCTGTTTTGGCTCAAGTCTGTTTTCAGGCTTCGGTGCAAATTATCCCCTAAATTATCTCGTGTGCTTAATTTCACTGAAATAACAGAGAAATAACAGTATTATATTGATTCTTTAGGTACCAACAATCAACATATCATTAAATAGTTACCATATCAGTTAAACATTGTAATAAAATCTCTTTAACAAACCGGAGAAGATTTCAATTTAATAAAGATTTACTTTCAGTTTATGAGTGAAATTAGGCAGGCTCAGCGTTGTTAAATGATTAGCTATCTGTTGCTTACAACTTCAGTATATTAACAACCCATGGCCCTCTACAGAGACGTGGAGGACACTAGACCTGGGTCGTGCTCGTTACAAAGGTTTCCCAAGAACTTGGGAACTGTGTCGGTAGTGTTGATCTACTATAATGAAGCCGTGTCCGTTGTGTTCAGGACTATTTACAGTGTGATAAACAGGTCGCCAAGGAGGCTGCTGCATGAGTTTGTGCTTTACGATGATGGCAGTGTGTGGGGTGAGTTAATCACTTGCTTAATTGATCATTTAATCACTTGCTTAATTGATCACTTAATCACTTGCTTAATTGATCATTTAATCAGTTAATGAGTTTATTGTATCATTACTTTATTGTTATTTACTTATTATTATTATTTGAACTTGATACGTCATAGTAATGTGGAATATTCGAGTGAAGGCTCATTTTGGATCTTGGTATATTGCGTGGATCATAATTTATTTCTGCTGTTCAGCGCGGCGGATACGTTAAATTACAAATTCAATCCGGCCCAAAAATTACACGTAACTGGTGAACTGAACCTTCTTTTTTGTGTACTACAACTCTCAACACTGTTATAAAAATGAAGCTTGTTGAAGAACCAATAAAAAACAAAAAAAACCGAACACGGAACACAAAAACATTCCGTTGCTTGCACTCGTTATATACAAATCCCTAAAAACTCTCAAGCTTAGATATATATGAACCAGGCTCCAAAGGATCTGAAATGAAACAAACGAATATTAAAGATTGTCTGTGTCGTTAGTTAAAGGCAAGGTAGTACGTGATAGTCCGTCATTGTTTGTGGTGACTGGAGAGAGTGAAGCCGTCAAATTACTCGGTTATAAATATATTAATAATATATTAATAATATTACTGGATACAGGTAGATACTAGCTGTATTTGTGTAGAGTGTAGCTGTGTGTACTGTGTATGTAATTACGATGCGTGTTACCTGACTTTAGTGTGAAATCTACAAGTCAGTATTGATGGTATGCAGCTGCCAGTGCAGTGGCGGACTTGAGTCAAAAGCGGGTCGCCTCGAGATACATCGTTTTCATGTGTACATGACTACCATCAGTGTGTATGTAATACCAGCCAGAGAGAGAGAGAGAGAGAGAGAGAGAGAGAGATGCATACTAAATACCCCATGTTGAAAGATAGTTGGGGGGGGGGGGTCCAACCCGATGTCCGATATGAGGGTTGATGAGGCCAAAATCGGAATCGGAAAAATCGGAAAAATCGGAAAATTGAGAAATTAACAGAATCGATCTCTAAAACCTCTCAGAAGTGATATAATTCAACCAGAACCCCTCCATATGCTATATTGTTATGAGAAAACGAACCAATTGGACATTCCAATAGTATGTTTTATGTGTTTTTCCACTGCAGGGGCGCTAGTATACTCACTACTAGTTGGAGTTGTCATGTACTCCCAGACCCGAGTGCTTTGGCCTTTTGACGTGAGATCGATTGTTTCTGCTCATTAATTTTATCCCTGTTACTTGTTATTATGTATTAGTACAACACTAGGTACCGGGTTATATTTTGTGGTCCGGTCTTTAAACATACCATAATATCACTAGTACACTGCACCTTGGCCTTAAATGTATAGTCAAGTACATTTGTATCGTAACACATGCTTGGCTGGGGGATCATGTTTTGTGTCCGTTCGGTACCCTATATTTTCAAAACGGACAAAAAGTAGGGCGAACAAAAACGGACAAAAACAGACAAAAACAGACAAAACATTTACATGTCCTCCTCCTCCTCCCTGGTCTTCCTCCTCCTTCTCATCAGTCCTCCTCCTCCTCCTAAGTCTTCCTTCTCCTCCTGAGTCCTTCTCCTCCTCAGTTCTCTTCAGTCCTCTTCCTGACTCCTCGTCCTCGTCCTCGTCCTTCTCCTCAGTCCTCCTCACCCTGCTCCTCAGTCCCCTCCTCCTCCTCAGTCCTACTCCCAGTCCTCCTCTTTCTCCTTCTCCTCCTCCTCCTCCTCATTTCTCCTACTCATCCTCCTCCTCCTTCTCCTCCCCATCAGTCCTCCTGAGTCCTCCTCATAGTCGTCCTCCTCCTCCTGAGTCCTCCTCCTCATCCTCCTCCACCTCCTGAGTCCTCCTTCTGAGTCCTCCTCCTCATCCTCCTCCTCAGTCATCCTCCTCTTCCTCCTCAGTCCTCCCCAGTCCTCCTCCTCCTCATCCTCCTCCTTCTCCTCCTCATCAGTCCTCATCCTTTGTCCTCCTCATAATCGTCCTCGTCCTCATCCTCATCCTTAGTCCTCCTTATTCTCCTCCTCGGTCCTCCCCCAGTCCTCCTCCTCATTCTCCTCCTTCTCCTCCTAGCCTCATCCTCCTCCTCCTTCTCCGCTTTCTTCTTCTCCTAATCAGTCCTCCTCCTCCTCGTCCTTAGTCCTCGTCCTCGTCCTCCTCAGTCTTCCTCCTCAGTCCTCCTCCTCATCATCCTCCTCCTCCTCCTCAACAGTCCTCCTCCTCCTCCTCAGTCTCCTCCTCCTCATCGTCCTCCTCAGTCCTCCTCCTCCTTCTCCTCATCAGTCCTCATCCTCAGTCCTACACTAGTCGTCCTCGTCCTTAGTCCTCGTCCTCGTCCTCTTCCTCCTCCTGAGTCCTCCTCCTCCTCATCAGTCCTCCTCCTCCTCTTCAGTCCTCCTCCTGAGTCCTCCTGAGTCCTCCTCCACCTTCTGAGTCCTCCTCCTGAGTCATCCTCCTCCTCCTCAATCTTCTCCTTATCCTCCTCCTCCTCCTCATCATTATCCTCCTCCTTCTCCTCCTCCTTTTCCTCTTCCTTCTCCTCCTAATCAGTCCTCTTCTTTAGCCCTCGTTATCATCCTCCTAGTCCTCGTCCTTAGTCCTCGTCCTCATCCTCCTCAGTCTTCCTCCTCAGTCCTGCTCCTCCTTCTCCTCCTCCTCAGTCCTCTTCCTCCTCAGCCTCCTCCTGATCCTCCTCTTTAGTCCTCTTCCTCCTCCTCAGTCCTACTCCTCAGTCCTCCTCCTCATCCTCCTCCTCCTCCTCCTCCTCATCCTCATCCTCATCCTCATCCTCCTCATCCTCCTCAGTCCTCCTCGTCAGTCCTTCTCCTCCTCGTCAGTCCTCCTCCTCCTCTTCAGTCCTCCTTCTCCTTCTCCTCATTCTCCTCCTACTCATAAGTCATCCTCCTCCTCAGTCCTCCCCAAGTCCTCCTCTTCCTCAGTCCTCCCCTCCTCCTCCTCAGTCCTCCTTCTCCTTCTTCTCCTCCTACTCCTAAGTCCTCCTCCTCCTCCTCCTTCTCCTCCTTCTCCTCCTTCTCATCCTCAGTCCTCCTCCTCATCATCCTCCTCAGTCCTCCCTCAGTCCTCCTCCTCCTCAGTCCTCCCTAAGTCCTCCTCTTATCTTCCTCAGTCCTCCCCCAGTCCTCCTTCTCCTCTTCATCATCAGTCCTCCTCCTCAGTCCTCGTCCTCGTCCTTCTCCTTCTTATCAGTCCTCCTCCTCAGTCTTCCTCCTCGTCCTCGCTCTCGTCCTCCTCCTCAGTCCTCCTCGTCCTTAGTCCTCCTCCTCCTCACCAATGAGCTGCTCCTCTTCCTCAGTCCTCCCTCTCCTCTTCAGTCCTCCTCCTCCTCAGCCCTCCTCCTCCTCCTCAGTCCTCCTCGGTCCTTCTCCTCCTCCTCAGTCCTCCCCAGTCCTCCTCTTTCTCCTCAGTCTTCCTCCTTCTCCTCCTCCTCCTCCTCAGTTCTCCTCCTCACCCTCCTCCTCTTTCTCCTCTTCCTTCTCCTCCTAATCAGTCCTCCTCCTCAGTCGTCCTCCTCCTCGTCCTTAGTCATCGTCCTCATCCTCATCGTCCTTAATCCTCGTCCTCATCCTCCCAGTCCTTGTCCTTAGTCCTCGTCCTCATCCTCCTAGTCCTCGACTTGGTCCTCCTCTGTCCTCCTCAGTCCTCCTTCTCCTCAGTCCACAGTCCTCCTCCTCAGTCCTCTTCCTCCTCCTCAGTCCTCCCCCAGTCCTCCTTCTCCTCCTCGTCATCCTCAGTCCTCCTCCTCCTTCTTATCAGTCCTCCTCCTCAGTCCTCGTCCTCGCTCTCGTACTCGTCCTCAGTCCTCGTCGTCCTTAGCCCTCGCGTTCTCTTAGTCCTCCTCCTCCCCGTCCTCAGTCCTCCTCTTGAAATGGGTAGCACGGTCAATGGTCATTAACCGTGCTACCCATTTCTGCAGATAGCCTGTTACAAATTGTGGAGACAATTTAAATCAAAAGTTACTAAAGCGTTCTCTATTTGTTACGATTGTTATTACCAACCGTACCTCTTTCAATTGTGGACCGGGGTGGATGTTTCTGTCAAACAAGAGTTGATACGACAGTGTGTTTTTTTTCGGACGAAACGATTCTTGTTTGGAACTAGAAACCATTTTGGGGTTCTGGGACCACCACCAATCGATTTCTTGTCATATTTAAGTACAGAAATAGCTACCTATATCGCCTAGAAACCTCAGAGGAAAGATTTAAATTTTCCCGATTTTTCCGATATGAGGGTTGATGAGGCCAAAATCGGGATCGGAATGATCGGAAATGATCGGGTTGGACCCCCCCCATAGTTAGCATTTCCTCTGAGAGGATCGTTCTTTGAACTTTCAACTTTTCAACATGATGACGTGTAATCGTCTGAGTGGGTGATAAAATAACTAATTGACAATTAATTAACTAATTGACTTTGCACAGACTTAGATAATATAAACTCATCGGGATTCGGAGATAATATTAGTTCAGTTATTGTAGTGTCTTGTGAGAGAGTAGGGTATTAGTTGCAACAACCACTGTTCACAGTTCATAAAGGTTATTATGATAGACATGCCCGCTCGTATGATGTGAGACTTGAGAGTCATGCTATCCTTGTTATCAAGTACGAGTTTATCAGACCTCTACCGAAAAAATGTATCTATAAAATGGTAAAACCAAGATGAAAATTTCAACTATTACCCCAATTATTTAATATCATAATTTAAAATTTACATTGAACGATATCAGAAAATTATAACAAAAATAATTAAATTTAAAATTGTATTACAATTTACTGATATAATTATAATAACCAACTATACCAGATCTTGAAGATAATTTCTAAGTGATAGCTAATTATCTGCATCTCATCAGATGCTGCAACTTAGAGTCAACACAAGTTTCGGTAGTCTGAATTGTCCAACTTTAAGTTCCATATGAGGCCGACTACAGAGACATAAAATATAATGTGCTCTAAAAACTCTCTTATACACTATACAGGTGTTCTTGATTATACGGTTATAAACAATACGGTTATAAAATTATAAACAATAAACATCTGTTAATTAATTATGAAAGAGCTATTTTTACTATTTAGCTCTAATTTTTTTTGTAAATCGATTTACTAAGAAAATGGTCGCTAAATATAGCTTATTGCTCCTTCAGGAATTAATCTACAGATGTTTGAAATCGTACCAATGTTTTGTGATCACTCTGTAAAATAAATGGAATGAACCCCGAATATCCTACAAAACAGATATTCTGCAAAAATTATTCAGGGGTGCATAATATTAAACATTTCAAAAATTTTGATAACCTTCAGAAACCGTCGTCGTAATTTGGATTCCTTGACTTCTTCTTCTGCAAAACATATCATATTTACAGCAACAACATAAAATACCGTAGATCGCTATTACCATTGGTACGAATGCTATTGCAATTCCAATAGTTATACCATCATCACCCGATCTATAATAGCTACAGTGTGCTGTTCCATTGTTAGAATAGTCCGAGCAATAGTAAATACCAATACAGTTAATTCCATCTCCAGATTTCCCAGCTTTACACTCAGGAATTCCATCGTCAGTAGTGGAACAATGTTTGTATGACTGATCACAGGTTATGTAAGTCTGTTTGAAAGGACCTCTGCCTTGACACTTCTGATTATAGCAGTCGTAGCAGATTGCAGTTGTTAGAAGATTAGCAATACTTATAACAACAAAGTTGAGTTTCATTGTTACTCTGAAGAAATAGTAGAGTTTTAGGAATTTCATATTTTTATTTTAAAAGCCTCGAAAGATGGTAATGCAACTTTTGATTTATTAAACAATTCAAAACTTATTCAAATGAAGATGTACAATGTACATTTTACAATTATTGTACATGAGTTGAATTGAATAAACTGCAGACTAATATAATATACTTCAAAACAAAAGGGTAAATATTTGGTCGAAATAAACAATTTTTGGTCGGAATAATACAAAATAGAAAGCCGTAACTGTTCAGCAAAAGAAAAGCAATGAAATAAGCAGGCATAAAATATGTTGATAAGAAAGTAATTTGATACCCAAATTTAGTTTCAACTCTGAAAATAGAAAAGGTATTATTTGTATTTATAACGTCGGTTATGAGGGCAGCTATAAGCTATGGATGAGGATTCGCCTAACAAATGGGAAAATGTGATCACACTGTTCAATATCCACTCGTTTATATATAATTATATAATAATTTTATTCACATAAATCGCACGTATCAGCTTCTATCTTGTTGATATAAATTCACACGGGACATTTCGGTCAAAACTGTCATGGAGCATTTTGATTTATTGAACAACAAAAACTTGCGTTTCATCCAGAAATTTCACCATATATTTGTACAGAGTACGAGATGAGCTGTTAACGTGATATTTATTTCACCGTGTCACACCAGACACATTAAAACCAATTCAACATGTCTTGTTAAACTCCACCTAAAGATGAGGAACAATATGCAGGCAAACCTATCTGTACACCCTGTACAATGAACCTGTCCGTATTGTCAAGTTATTCGCAATTGTATAATTTACCGGTATCTCAGCTAATTTGCTCGCCATGTAAACCGTTCATATTGCATGTAAACTCTACAAGAATTCTATTCCCTAGGGCAATAATCTAATTAAAACACAGCAGTGGGGGTTACTGGTATGGGCGTGCTCCGGCAAATGGTTAAGTTGATTGCAGCTCGATATATTGTCGTTATTCTGGACGCTACATTCTTCAGATCTCGTAGCATAAATTTGGCGGACCCTTTCAACACTCAGCTATTTATCCAGTAACATTAATTAGCTAGCCGATTTATAGCCGAGTGCTGCTTGCTGAGGACATCAAATTCTTTACAGTAATTGAGGAGTGCCCCTTATAGGTTTATTCATACTCTAGTTGATATATCGCTATCAATGTTATGTATTATAATAATATGTATTATGATGTACAGTGTTTATATATCTTGATTTACCAACTAACCAAAGGATATGATTAATTTGATCATATTGGTATCATCTGCGTATAAGATAAGCATTAACTTTAAGCATTTATCATATCTTTAATAGCCGAACGATAGAGCATTGTTTGTTTCCTCACTCAACATATTTCAGAGGAGAGTATCGGACCGATGAAGGCGGAAGCGGAGAAAGTGTTAGATGTACCGATACGTTACGTCCGCAACACTACACGTGGGGGCCTGATGCGCGCACGAACCTCCGCTGCAAACTTCGCCTCCGGAGATATCCTCATCTATCTAGACAGTCATTGTGAGGTGAGTTGTTGTGGTAATTGGGGGGGGGGGGGGGGGGGTGTTGGGGTAGTTAGGGGGAAATAGTACTGATGTGATAGTTGTTGTGGGGAGGCGTTAACTGGTGTTAATTGTTTACAATTTGTGTTTGCAGCGTCGCTTGTTCTGTGATATTATAACTCGTCTACCTTGGTATCTGTATTAAAGTGGTGAATTCTTCAGAGGAACATTTTAAAAGAAAAATGTTAAATCTATCTTGAGCGTTACTCAGCACTGTTTCCTTCACTTAATTTTAATATTGTAAAGTAGCTTGTTAGCACAGGAAACACCTTAATTGGTACTCACAATTCTCTCAACACTGCATTCGCTGTACTACTACTACTGCAATATTACTACTACTACTACTACTATTGTAGTACTACTACTACTGCATTGTTCTTCAACATTATATCGTAGTGAGAAATATGGAAATAAATAATTGATATTAGTAGTGATTTTAAAAAGTAAATTTTATAACAGTTGCTATGAGTGGTTATACTAGCGGCGGATTCAAGAAGGATGTTTCCGTTGTGTCTACGTCCGCGTCATTTAATTTTATGTGATTTCCCCCCCTTTTTTAGGGCATATTATTACGACAATTTTGAACTGCGATGAAATCCATCAATTTCTGGATGTGGGTACCGACTGCTGTTACACCCCCAGGTCAATATCATTAAAAATATGTCGTATATTATTATATCTGGGTGAAATATGTCGTATATTATTATATCTGGGTGAAATATGTCGTATATTATTATATCTGGGTGAAATATGTCGTATATTATTATATCTGGGTGAAATATGTAGTGGTTTTTATCACCTGATGGGGCATTTTAGGGCCCCACAAATATGTAATGATATTGACCTACTGTTACAACAAGACATAAATACCAATTTGTTGTAACGAGTGAGCAGTCGGATAATTGGTATTAACAATAGTATTATATATATTATATAGTGCTACTAGTCGAGATCAATTAGTGTCATTAACTGTCATTCTCAGTAATAATCTCAACAATGATATCAGGGTATGAGTATTGCTGAAAGCACAGTGTAAGGCCTACACGGACCGCCTCTAACTAGCCAATGATATCCTGCATTATTAAAGTATTAAGTTCGAGATCATAAATATGTTTCTCAGATCTGCACTGAATATTCAGAGCACTCTCAGATTGTCATGTGTTTACTGTTATCATACAGAAATATATAATAAACTTACTTTTACACTTTACAGCAACGTACTGGCATTATCTCTCCTAAAATTTGTCTAACTTTCTGATATTCTCACGTAAAACTTCTGAAAAGTTGGAAAAGTCCCGCTTCATTCAGATTCCTGAATGTGGGACTTTATTAGCTGTTTACAGCTTCCTAAATGTGGGACTTTATTAGCTGTTTACAGATTCCTAAATGTGGGACTTTATTAGCTGTTTACAGATTCCTAAATGTGGGACTTTATTAGCTGTTTACAGATTCCTAAATGTGGGACTTTATTAGCTGTTTACAGATTCCTAAATGTGGGACTTTATAAGCTGTTTTACAGATTCCTAAATGTGGGACTTTATTAGCTGTTTACAGATTCCTAAATGTGGGACTTTATTAGCTGTTTACAGATTCCTAAATGTGGGACTTTATTAGCTGTTTACAGATTTCTAAATGTGGGACTTTATTAGCTGTTTACTGATTCCTTAATGTGGGACTTTATTAGCTGTTTACAGATTCCTAAATGCGGGACTTTATTAGCTGTTTACATATTTCTAAATGTGGGACTTTATTAGCTGTTTACAGATTCCTAAATGTGGGACTTTATTAGCTGTTTACAGATTCCTAAATGTGGGACTTTATTAGCTGTTTACAGATTCCTAAATGTGGGACTTTATTAGCTGTTTACAGATTCCTAAATGTGGGACTTTATTAGCTGTTTACAGATTCCTAAATGTGGGACTTTATTAGCTGTTTACAGATTCCTAAATGTGGGACTTTATTAGCTGTTTACCGATTCCTTAATGTGGGACTTTATTAGCTGTTTACAGATTTCTAAATGTGGGACTTCATTAGCTGTTTACCGATTCCTTAATGTGGGACTTTATTAGCTGTTTACAGATTCCTAAATGTGGGACTTTATTAGCTGTTTACAGATTCCTAAATGTGGGACTTTATTAGCTGTTTACAGATTCCTAAATGTGGGACTTTATTAGCTGTTTACAGATTCCTAAATGTGGGACTTTATTAGCTGTTTACAGATTCCTAAATGTGGGACTTTATTAGCTGTTTACAGATTCCTAAATGTGGGACTTTATTAGCTGTTTACAGATTCCTAAATGTGGGACTTTATTAGCTGTTTACAGATTCCTAAATGTGGGACTTTATTAGCTGTTTACAGCTGGACACTGGACTGTTCTTCCAAAACGAAGGACTAAAATGTCACCACGTTTCAGTACATAATAGCACTCTCGTGATTAGCATATTTTTGCATATTTTATCATATATTAGCAAATTTTACTATGTATTAGCATATTTCACCACTGGTTTGTTTACTGGATCTTTTTACGCGTACGTGACGTCGTGACACCTGAGTCTTGTAAACATTCCTATTAAAAATTACACCGCAATAAAATACGTATACCCAGGATTTCACCGTGTGATTTAAAGTAAATATTTTCTAAATTATGAACTAGAAGTTGAGGTATTCAGTAGGAATTAGTTCATAGCATGTATTTAAACAGTGGTAGTTATAAGATCATACTTAGGTTACTTGATTACACTTCCTCACCACAATCTCGCAGAGTTACGCCTATTCAATTACTCCTTTGTTGCATTTTAAGTTAGAGCAATGAATGTTATATAGGGTATATATTTCGATAAAATTTTACGGCCAAACCCAGATTTCCTCATGTCCAAGTGACACCAAGCTCAGTAAGTGTACCGATTCATAACGATACTGGAAACTTACTAGGTTGGTTACTAGAATGGTTACTAGGTTACTAGATTAGTAACCCCCCGCTCTTTACACACGTGTTAAGTAAGATGACAGGTAATATATTACCACGGTACTCCGCTCAGTACTGGACTGTGCTAATTCAACATAAACGAGGTGGTGAAAATGTCCTTTAGCCTGTGTTTAGTACAGCGTGTGACTACCTGTAGTATTTTAAACCTGTTTAAACACCCCTCAAGTTTTAACGCAATGTAGATTGTAGGACGTAGGTGGATGTGGTTTGAGGCGGGGATGTGTACGAATGTTTTCTGTAAAGGATTTATGGGTTTATATACATTGGAAACCGTATATTGTGGGCAGATAGTCCTGAAAACTTGAAAAGAATCGAATGTGGTGCACAATCGGCACATTATCAGCACAATCAGCACATTATCAGCACAATACTCTTCCTTTTTAGGACAAGTTAAAGCGCATTGAAATCCCTCCGTCACTGTTGCCGAATGCCGATCTATTATTGGGAGGTATTTATACCGTATAATACTCGCAACAAACTTTACATCGGTTGTAAAATATAAATCTATTATGTAAAATAATTGAGGTTCTCGTGAGGTTAACGTATAATTGTTGCTATTGGTAGATACAGTTATTATAGGCAAACTATTGGTAGATACAGTTATTATATAGGCAAACTATTGGTAGATACAGTTATTATAGGCAAACTATTGGTAGATACAGTTATTATATAGGCAAACTATTGGTAGATACAGTTATTATAGGCAAACTATTGGTATATACAGTTATTATATAGGCAAACTATTGGTAGATACAGTTATTATATAGGCAAACTATTGATAGATACAGTTATTATAGGCAAACTATTGGTAGATACAGTTATTATAGGCAAACTATTGGTATATACATGTACAGTTATTATATAGGCAAACTATTGGTAGATACAGTTATTATAGGCAAACTATTGGTATATACATGTACAGTTATTATAGGCAAACTGTTCCATTATTGCTATTGATAGATAGGCAAACTGTTATATTATAACTTGTCGTAGTAGTTTACAAGAAGTCTAACCTGGCCTAACTTCAGCTTCATTAATTATATACAATGCTTTAGACGGATAATTGCTTGTGAAGACATTAACCCATTTACAAAACCCACTCTTTTGGTAAAGTTTCCACATTGGTACACGTAGTTGTTACCTGATCTAGTAGGGGCTATTTACCCATGATCTACACATTATTTACACACACCACTGTAAGTTACAGGTCCTCATTGAACGTTGGTTTCTGTACACGTATATTAAAGAGGTCACATCGCTGTATCTAATTCTAACTGTTTAGCGAAGGGAAGTGATGTGAGAAATTTTAATTATGAACATACTTAATGGTGGTGGAGCACGTTATTTCTTTTACTTATTAAGATAATATAATGATTTAAAATGTATCAGCTGTATTGTGTATATAATATATATGAAACAAGATAACGGGAATCATGGGACGAGAGGATAGTAATTAGTATGTTATTGTATTATAATGTACTTAGTATAACTTTATCGTACAATGCACCTGCTCTGCCCACTGCACATTAATATCTACAGCTAGAAATTCTGATCTAGAACATTTTACGGTACCCTGAAGTTAGAGACCTGTAGTTAGAGACCTGCAGTTAAAAACCTGCAGTTAGACACCTGCAGTTATAAACCTGCAGTTATAGACTTGCAGTTATAGACCTGCAGTTAGAGACCTGCAGTTATAGACCTGCAGGTTTCTCTCCTCCAATAGAAATCATTATTATCCTCTTCTCCCTACCTAGCATTATGCAGTCCCTCATAATTCACAGCCTTTTATCAATTTAGGGTTGAAACCACAACGTTCTACCCATCAAGTGACAGTGTATGACTTGGGGGCCACAGTTTATGATTATAGCGAATTAGCTATTCAGATGGTAGTACTGTTATACGGGATATTTGTACACACACGTGATGCCCATATAAGGAGTGTACACACACGTGATGCCCATATAAGGAGTGTACACACTTGCTCGCTAAATAACCCCACATAGATTGCTAGTTTCATATCATATTATATCCAAACTGTATGTAGAGTAGATCTTTTGCAGAAGGTTAATAATTGCAATTTTTGGGATCATCTGTGAATAAATTCGTAACAAAAGTTTCTCTTCGGGAATGTGTTGTCCATAGTCTCAGGAAACACCCCAAAAGGTTCAAGTCAGACTGAGACTTCCTAAACCAATTTTCTTCCGTACGCCAACCTTGAAAATCATGACTTGTAGGTCTGTGAGATCTCTGTAGGGATAAAAATGACTGCAATTGCCACATTACGACCGACGTACGAGATTTACAAAGTGATCTGAGAATCACATTACATATAACTACACATCACATATAACCAGGCATTAATAACCATACATTTAGGTTATATTCAAGATGTATAAACCTAGAATTACCCTCATAGAAGGTTTTACAATTACAATATTATAACTTTATAACTTGACAATTTAAGATTCCAACACATAGTGTGTTTAAGTGATTAACGTGACTAAAGTGACTAAATTTCAATCTGTTGACGGATTACGATCCAGCTTGACGGTTGACAAGTTGCCAAGATTCACCCTCTTTTAAAAAACTCAAATGTACAAGTAATTCATGAACAACTTTTAACCTTAACCACAGTTATGAGCATGTCGATCTTATCCCATTGCACACATGTTGAAGTACTCAAATCTCATGGAACGAATAACAGCCGATGGTGCAAAAAGTGTGGTGATAGCCGATAGGTCAACAGTGCGATTCCGCGCCAACCGCACTTTAATATGTTACCTCTGAACAATAATGAACAATAATTAACTTTTTAAAGTTACCCATTTACCAACTCCCCCTTATATTTCAGGTACTACCCGGCTGGTTGGAGCCACTGATAGAGCCTATTTTCAGGGATCCCACCGCAGTTACGTGTCCTGTGATCGACGTAAGTTAACTTGAATTACAGTGTATAATATGTAGTTACTACACTTTGTTTTCTTGGTTAAATTTCTATTGATCCCGTTTGATGCGACAAGGAAAAGGCTCTTATCAGGAAAGGAATTATTCAACGTTTCAATGTGACAACATCGTATTCATGATCTCAAATTATTTCTCAAATTATTTGTTATATATAGTTAGTGTTGAAAGTACTACACTTTGTTATGTACAATTTCGTTACCAACTGGTTTATATTACACTGGAATGCGTTATCTCGGTTGTATCCCGAATTTGGTTACTCCTGCAGGAATGTTAGGAATTTGTATCACATATCTTACTAGATTTGACGCATTTCTCAGAAACTTGCCCGACCAATTAAGTGGTTTATTTAAAAGATTAGAACTCTACAAATCAACAACTTGGTCTAATAAGGCCCTATATCAAAACATCTTTATCAAGATAATATCTGCTGATTTAGTCGCAGTGCACTCTAATATACATGATATCTGAACTGCAACGTAAGGTGACATGAAGCCTATAGTAAGATAGTGCCCAACATCTACAGTATGATAACATGAAGTTGACATGAACCTATCAGTCTTCACTCTCTTATCAGATCATTTACCCGCACACTCAAATACTTGTGTGGTTTCCCAAAAGTTGACGGGAAATTATAACGGGGATTATAAGCGAGCCTGGTCGTGTGCACTTAATTAATCACTTAATTGATCACGTGCACTTAATTAATCACTTAATTGATCATGTGCACTTAATTAATAGCTTTGTGTAGTTGCACTTATTTTATGTTACATTGGTTAACAGTAATACGCTAGTGCTGGCGCAATCATTTTATTAAAATATTAGCTCATTATTTGATTAGCTGATGTAAAGATTGTGTTCAATCATCAATGCTAAGTGTGATGATGGATACCAGGATACCATATCTGTGCTGTAACGTTTTAACTTAAAATTAATTTTTAATTATGATAACAAAGGCAGACGTATATAATAAATGTACCTCATAATATAAATATCTACAGTTTTTGGGAGTTCCAAATAGTTTCTGATTATTCTGATTATAATATAAATTAATGACAAAAACATCCGTTTAATATATTGTAGTCCCGTATATTAGACTTGAAATTAGAAAAGCCCCTCATTCCATCTTGGGAGTAGAAGGAAGAACCAAAATGTTTCTTTATTAGCCTACATTTACAAATAACAACCGCCTTATTATACTTACACTGGACTTATCTGGGTTTTAAAGAAAGTAAATACTAGGGTGGAAGTATTGTGGAAACATTTTAGTTGGAGGTTTAAGACTCGAGTGTACTGATAGTAACACGCTACTTTAGTTCCATGTGTATTTTAATTTGAATAATTTCGTTAGAAACCTAGTGATTAGATTCACATCTAATGAATTTCTCGTATATTATATAGAACTTATATACAACTTACGCCACTGTTGAAAGTGGTGACGCGTACTAAATAACTAAAAGACTATAATCGTAACTAAAACATTTAAGTACGAGTCTCTGTGGTAACGTAATGTTTCGTATACACAGTGCAGTAAAACGAATATAGAGAGAGCTTACGAATTTGGGGATGTTCTGCATTCATGAATAAATTCAAATTTTAGAATAAGAATGTTCCTGTAGTCTTTAGTTGTCGTTCTAGAAGACAAAAGAAAACTGGTGAATATAATAAACTTTTATAACTTGGTCCATTTCATCAAATGGGACTGTTGAGTGTTGATGTTTATCGGCCGTATGGCGGGAAGTACAAAAATGTTTGCACTATAACTAGTTTGTAGCTGGATACATAACTACATAAGCAAGACGTTTTTTGTTGAGCAAATATGTTCACAAAATTTGAATGTTCATGACTCAACCCTAACGAAAATTCCTCTATTTATAGACATCCCCCCACAAAATGACGATATTATAAAACCATCACGTTTTATATATTAAATAAATCTGCTTTGTAACTTATAACTTAAGAATGGTAGACTGGAACAACGCATATAATTTTAAATCTTTCACGTGCAATCGAATTAACGATCGTCAAAATTCTTGCACATAAATTTAGTTTCTTTGTTTGTTGTTTACTTTTCAATTCATTGAATAAAATTTGTCATTTCTCAGACAATCGAATGGGACACAATGGACCTCGTGAGTGGGCGACAGCCAATGTCTGCTATAGGTTAGTTTTTAGAACCATATTAACCAATCAGAGATCAGACTTCAATGTTATTATATTAACCAATAATATTACAACGGGTTGCTATGAGTCAATTATCATTCTTGCACCTACGTCACTGTTTCGTTGATTTACTGCATAAATATTTAGTATTAACCAACCTTCAAAATTTACCATTGACTAACTATTTTCTACGGCAGAATTATAGAATATTGAAGTAATAATCATAACTTAAAGTAATAATCATAACTTAAAGTAAGAATCATAACTTATAGCTAGTTGCATAGTTATCACATACAGGCATGGTATAAACCACACCCAAATGATGTCATCATATCATGACGTCACAACACTAACCATGACGTCACAACACTAACCACCGTCACTTAACCAGGATCGTATAACCTTCTGCTGAACTACAACTGGTACCCTATACCGGAGCAGGAGCAACAGAGGCGACGTGCAGAACACGGTAAAGACTGGGCTATTTCTCCTATCAGGTACTGTCCTATCCGGCTTAGTGATAACAGTTCGCTGGGGGAATTTTACACGGAATGTTGGAATTTTGGAATTTCTTGGTTACTTTTGATAGCAATACCGCTTGACAAGCCAACCGACTTTGAGATGTTTAGTTCTTTGATGAATTAATCAAAAGATATGCTTTTTTCAATTTAAAGTATGTAAAAACTAACTCTAAGAAAAACTCACGATGTATTATACAGGTCGGCAGCGATGGCTGGGGGATTGTTTGCGATAAACAGAAAGTATTTCCACGACTTGGGAGCGTACGATACTAAAATGAACGTTTGGGGCGGAGAAAATACGGAAATCAGTATCAGGTGATTACTAAACTTGTTGCAGCATTCGCATTCCTGTATGGCGTATGCCTGGGTGGGGGTGGGGGGAGGTGCAAGATTGTGGCGTTCTATTGGACTGAGCTATATCAATATCTGTATTTATATAAATGGTCAAATTGCGACTTGCAAGCTAATTTTGTCGATGCGAGCTTTTATTGTCTCTGCCCTTACTTCAAATAAAATACAATATGAATATTGCGCTTGAATCTTCGCCTTCGAAGTTTAATATCTCCGAATTAAAAATGACTTTGGTAATGTATTCCTGTAGCGACATAAGTGCACCACAATCTCAGAGATTGTCTTTGATTTAATAAGCGTGGACTATAAGTTAATTTGGTCCACTTTAATCGCTTGTCTTCTCAGCTATGTAAGCTCATCATGAACAATTCAAGGGTTTTTACTGATGAGTTTGTTGTTTGATTGCACATAAGTGCTGTCGAATCTTGTTCCCAGGGAATGATTAATTTGCAATTTATTCGTATGTGCTCCAAACTTGCTTACTTATTTGATAATAGTTTGCTTGCTGTCCCAGGAAAAATAATCATCCTTGTAGACGCAGTAATTCATTGAAAAATGAAACGAGCATGTCTGTAGCGCGCGAAAACTTTCCGCTTGTTAATATAAAAAGCACACTCCAAGCATTTAGTAATACTACGCATTTTCTGCGCGCGCACGCCGCGCAGATATGTAGCGCGCTAGCAGTCAATTTGCCCAAGTACGCGTGTCAAAATGATCTGTCCTGATCAATTTACCACGAGTCACGACAGATTGCAGGAGTGAAATTTCGTTGTATCCAACTATTGGGATTTTACTGATCGGTTAGTAAATCAGTTGAGAACTGAGATGACATTTATGTTTATAATTTAATTAATTAATTATTTAATTGCAGGATTTGGACGTGTGGTGGAACACTACTCTTTACCCCTTGCTCCAAAGTTGGACATATCTTCAGACATGGATACCCTTATGATTTCATGGTAACTAACGTTAACTAAAACTCTTTGAGCTTTCTAACAAGACAAATATATTCTAAACAACAATTTCCACCACTAATCCAGTTTAAGACAATTCTGTAACATGAACTATTACAGGGCGATCATTTCCAAACTGTACTGTTCAACTATAAACGTGTAGCCAAGGTTTGGATGGATGCAGATGAAGAGTTCTACTATAAACTCCGTCCCATGGCGCGTGAGAAAGATGTTGGAAGTGTTGCTGAAAGGTTAGACGAATTACTTTTAAAATATTGCTATCTCTTTTTGTGCTTGTCTCATTTCAACTTAACTTAAAAGGCCACGTTCCAAACCCCCACCCCACATTTTTATTCGCTAAATCTTACCATTCCTCAGATTGCAACTCAGAAAGGATCTTCAATGCAAGTCTTACGAGTGGTTTATTAACACTATTACCCCCAATCTCGTACTGGAGAAGGATCTTTCTCAATATGGCCAGGTATGAACTCGACACTATTTCTAGTAACGACAGATGATTTCTTGTGATTATTAAGTCGCATGGGAAAACTGTTCACTGATTTTAAGAATACACTCCTACCCACTTCCAAAGGTCTATAAGAATTATCTTTCAGATGAAGAGTGGTTACAAGACAAACTTCTGTATTGATAATCTGGGTAATGAATACAAGGGGCACGGGCTGAGTATAGGAACATACCCCTGCCACCCTGCTGACGGTGCTATTGATAACCAGGTATCAGCGGACCTTTAACTTTCACTTATCAGCTTACTTTCACTTATCAGCTTACTTTCACTTTCACTTATCAGCTTAATTTCACTTATCAGCTTACTTTCACTTTCACTTTCACTTATCAGCTTACTTTCACTTTCCATCAGTTCATTTACGATTTTTAAAGACAGCATCAGACTGAATAAATCTCTACTGCCCCGACACCGCCATAATATTGAAATAATAGTATCGCAGAATAGGATCTGATTTATATTATACATATCATTTATTATTTATTAATCATTATAAATCATCTTCTGTTTCAGTTCATGATGTTAACAAAATCAGGAATATTCCGAACTATTGACAGATGCATGACCATCTCTAGTCGGAATGTACTAGCGATGAGCCACTGCTTCGATTTCAACAAACCTAGCTTTACTTGGGAATATAACGAAAATGTAAGTATAACCCACATTATTCGGTCAAGCTAGCCTCATTAATTAAGTGACTAAAACTGTAGCCCTTCAATTAGGCCTGGATTAGGACTGTAACAGTGAGTAGACAAAAGTTCATTCTCTAAACAGCCATTGATCAAACAGCCCTCCCTAATAATTCAAATCAATCCTTTCACCTCAGGATAAAACATTGAAACATATGAAGAGTGGGAAGTGTTTGGACTACGGTGCCGCAGATATGGCAACCCAAATGACCGTTGTCAGCTGCAACGGCAGCGACAAGCAGCAGTGGACATTCACCTATAATAATTAATTAATTAATTAAATGACTCGATAATTGATTGAACTGATGAATCATCGTCAAGTTAGACGAATTTAACTGAGTTTTAGCAGTTGATTAATTATGTGAATCGTTTTGTTCGCGAGTGATGGTGTAGGATCAAAGGGTTATTTCAGATTTTTAGAATTCGTTTTCGTATGATGTGAAAGTGTTCAGCTGTATATAATTTCAAGTTTTCAGACTCTGACAGTTAAGTTTTGAAGTAATTAATGTTTCCAGTTTAAGTTTCGTGGTTTATAAGTATTTTTCGGTTTAGGCGGATCATTAGGACGGAAATGAAGTTTTAGTCAACTATTGGCAAAACTTGTGCGATTATATACGATTATTTTTTCTCAAAAGATGAATTAAATTTTAACATAAATATTAAATAACAAAGTACAGTCTGCAAAATTCTTGAAATGGGCTGAATTATTATTTCCAGTTGGACGGTTGAACTTGAAAAAATATTTGAACAATAAAAACGCAAAGTCAGTAGCTGCTAATATAGTAATATCTTTATGTTGTTTTAAAATATCAAGTTGATTTAAGCTAACCCGATTAAATGCAATTTATTATTTTCATGCTGAGTAATTAGCAAACATTTGTCTCGCTGGGTGGAACTGCACTGGGTTTTGGACTTTGCATTTAATGATACACCATTATTATGACTAAACAGTTGACGGTACTTTAGTGGATATTTAGCTAGCACATTTTATGCATAACAAATATGAATGATATTTTAATTTATTACTACATTGATAAACCTTTAATTTACTGAGTATCACTATCACCAAGACGTGTTAATGACAATAATAAATGATAGCAATAATTAAAAGGTCAAGTTTGAGGGCTGCTCGTTGAACAATCAGTGTAAAATTTAAAGCACTCTTAATCAATTAATGGTACACTGGTACAGTCGTGTACACCAATCCGATCAAATGTACACTGCAAAATGCATTGTAGTTTTTAATGAAATCTCAAAAACCCAATTTTGACAATTCTTTTTCAGACATTTCGTCCCTTTTAAGACGAGTTTATTAATACTTTGCTCTGGGTCCCGCCTTGACAGCTTTTTGACTTAAGCATTCTGGAATAGTTCCTATATTACCTTGAATTCAGTTCAATCATTGTTTTGATTCGTTATCAAAGACCACAAATGGTTATCATGATGTCCATTTTGAATACCGTAGCTTTAAAGTCAGGCAACAATTCTATAATGCACTAACAATAATGAATAACGACCACAATTTATTGCCGCTGCATCATGAAGCTTCCCAGCTAGACTGGAAAATCAAGTCTAGCTGGGTGAATTAAAACTAAGAAATCATATTTACAGTCAAATGTCAATATCATTTTTATTGAACATCTTTTCAAATGGTTTACGGTACACAGAGGATCACGCAATCGAAGTAGTTAGGGGCCATCTACTTAGGACGTCCGCCAAAATCGCAGATTTTCAGACCTCCCTCTGTCCGGGTGTGTCCGAATTTTCAAAACCACCCCTCCCAACTCCCTCCCCCGAACGTCTAGATTTCCAGATACTCTTAAGAGTATAAATAAAACCATGAACTCAAATTCATTGTTAATCAAATTCAAAGAGTTGAAATAAATGGGACTTTTTCGTTATTTCTGCCAAAATTTCCGGACGTCCGGATTTTCAGAAACCACCCCCTCCCCCTGTCCGGATTTGACTGAAATTCCAAAACCACCCCCCCCCCCCCCCTCCCTATTCGCCGGACGCCCTAAGTAGATGTCCCCTTATATAAAATACTAGAAAGCCCGTGGTCACATGGAGGAAGGTAATAGTATTCTTATCTATCTTTGGTAGTCAAGTTTTTAATTAGCAAGATGTGAACTAAACAGACGTGTCCTGTATGTTGGTCTTTGTATTCTTTGAAGTCTGCAGTCCTTCTAGCTGGATCGATGGAATAATGGACGTTTCAAGTACTTCTTCTGCTGGAGTAGCTTTTAAGATAGAAGCAGCTCTTGGGTTGGGAGCAGCTCTTTGGTTGGGAGCAGCTCTTGGGTTGGGAGTGGCTCTTAGGTTGGCAGCAGCTCTTAGGTTGGCAGCAGCTCTTATGTTGGAAGCAGCTCTTAGGTTGGGAGCAGCTCTTGGGTTGGGAGCAGCTCTTGGGTTGGGAGCAGCTCTTAGGTTGGGAGCAGCTCTTAGGTTGGGTCTTTGTTCTACAGTGGCCGGTCTGACCGAGGACAGGATTTGAATAATCTTCAGTTTTAGAAAGGCTCTAAAACTACGCAGAGTTAGAGCATATATAAAGAAGTTTGCTATTATGTTCAAGTATGTGAGGCTGAGGCAACCAAATAATCCTATAGGTAGGAGATTAATGGAGTACGACAGGAAAAAGTATGGTAGCTGGGAGACTAAAAGCACCCCCACAGTCAGCAATACCGTAGAGATTCCCTCCCAACGCAGTCTGTCACCGTGTCTATCTGCTGCTTTTTTTGCAACAACCAGCAGAATTATTGAACTAACGATGACTATCAGCAAAGAGAGGACTGTGATGAGAAAATTAATGATTACAGAAAACAATATTAACCAGACAGGAAATTGATAACTGTCATAACCACAAGATAAGAAGATCTTATCAAACCTAACATCCGAATAGTGGATCATTTTCATCACGAAAAACGGAGCATACAACCCCAGAAAGAGAAGCCACACAGCAGTACAGATTTTGTGTCCAAGCCGAGAGGACCAAGAGCCTGTTCTGAGAGGATACTTCACTATCACCAGCTTCAGGATCGTCAAAGCACAGGTTAACATAATGGTCACGGTATTGGTTAACCACGTCATATTTTCTTGAATATGACAGAACAGCGTCTCGCCCAGAGACATCTCTCCCAAATATGTCACATCCAGATTATAGGAGAAGAGATGATCAGGACCGATGCAGGTTACCAGAATCGTAGGCAACACTCTAAAAATCGTCTGCAGTAGATCACAAACTGCCATGTGCTGCATAACAGCTATCACCACCTTGTGCTGCTTGATAGCCCTGTATTTTATGGTTGCTAAAAGAATGATACTGTCCCCGCTGAGAGAAGTCAAAAGAACTGTTCCCATCCACACATTCAAAATAATGAGATCTAAGGAGGTTGACGTTGCTAACGGAACGTTATAAACCTCCTCTTTGAACCTTATCATGTTTTTGTGAATCTACTCGGTCAAAAACCTGCACATAAATAAAAATTTAGATTTCAGTGACGTTGTCGTTATCGCTTATTAATAAGTTTAACAATTAAGACATAAATTACACGAAAAGTTAATTTGAAAAATAGAGTAAAATTAAGATTGGCGAACTGAAATAGTATGAGACACCGTGGTCCGCGACAGTGCACATATTGTTTTGTTTCTTAAATTGTGCAATGACTGACGCCTTAGAATTAATATATGAAAATGAAGTGTCCAAAAGTAAAAGAGACTACTGAGTACTGATAGTGGCTGCAATGAAAAATATAAAAACTCGTCATTCCGTGAGAATTTGTGGGTGAATTACCGCAATAACGTAAAGGAAAATGGTACTGATAGAGCTGCTGTGTCAGCTACTCATCAAGACATTATCTTAGAGCTCGCCCATTTTACTGTAGTCATATTACAGACCAGGACGGTTTCAGGTCTGTCCCTGAAATTGTCCTGACCAACGTAGCCTAGGGGTATTACTATCATGTATTACTTTTCTGCGTAAGCTACTTAAGTCGTGATTTCGACTGCTTTTTTGTAATCTTTTATTAACGGGTGACACTCGTAAAATATTTGTTCCAAAACCGTCGACGAGTCCAACTCGGCGCGCGTCCTGGTAGGTTATAAACCTACAAAATATTTTACTACGCTTTATGTATAATTATAAATAGAGCTTACAGATAAAATGAATAATGATCCTCAGTCCTCAGTCCTCAGTCCTCAGTCCTCACAATATAATATGAGTAGTGTCCATGACATCATTCATGAAAATACGGTTTCATGCTCACCATCAGTATCACCTGATCTTTTGAACGGGAGTTCAGTGTATCAGTATGACATGAATATACATACTATGTACTAAAAAGCCCGTGGTCACAGGGAGGAAGGTAATAGTAATTCTTTGAGTTATAATAATGATAGTGTCGAACGGTATTCAACAAAATATGCAATAATTGGCCCTTACACCGGAGTCAAAAAGCCGATCACTAACAAATGACGAAAAGGAAGTCCCCAAAACTGTCGGTTAACCGTACTCCGTTACTGGGCGACGCTTAGCCTGCGCCTGTCATTTCGCCTAATCTCTATTCGGATTATGATTATGAACATAAATATAATAGCCTGGGGTCCCCAGGTAACGTACTCCAGTACTCGCTTATTGAGCTAAAGTTAGTGTTTTTACATTGACCAATTGATTGAAAAACGTAGTTCTTGAGCAGGATTCTCGGCCACAGTTGTCAGATTTCAGGGTATTTTTAAAATCCAAATGTTTGAAAAACTCAGGTTCGAGGACTGGTGCAATCTTGTTAACATCTGTCATCTTGTCATCTTTTATTAACATCTTGTTAACATCATTGTCACAGTTATAAGTTTGTTTATGCTACGTCACCACAACAGCACTGTATAATCTGGGTACCATGAACTGACCCACAGTTCGCCAGCTGTCTCTCTCATAATCGTACTTCTCTATAGTTGACACGTTCTTGTTCTTCTTGACCCCTCCAAACACGTACAGTACACCTTCACACACTTCACCCTGCAAATACACAGTTTAGTACAGTACACCTTTACACACTTCGCCCTGCAAATACACAGTTTAGTACAGTACACCTTCACACACTTCGCCCTGCAAATACACAGTTTAGTACAGTACACCTTCACACACTTCACCCTGCAAATACACAGTTTAGTACAGTACACCTTCACACACTTCACCCTGCAAATAAACAGTTTAGATCTTTAATATTTCGAATATTATTATTAATGCTTTTATAGTATACAGATTTCTATATTAACATCACTTTTTTTAATTGAAATCTTTCAAATCGATCAATTACATACAAATTTACACAATGAATGAACAACATTAAATTTTCTCAAAAGTATAAGACTCCGATAAAATCAGATTTTCTAGGACAAAATGTACGTAATCAAAGGACCTGAGGGTCACCAAAACACAGATGTTGAGAGCAAAATGCACCTCCTGCACAAGTATGGGCCCACGAAAATCTTGAATTTTAAATAGAATTTCAAATTTAGAAACACACAAAAATATAAAAAGCAATCAAATCATATAATAAAGTGAAATCCATGATGTGATGATATGCACTAAAATGAGAAATGAGAAATACAGACAACAGGGATTTAAGCTCTTATGAACATATTGTTAGCTTTAGGTAAACTGCCTCACATCTCTGTCTCGAGGGAATAATCTAGATCATAATCAAAGTCCTCCGGCAGAATTTTATCCCACATGTAGGAGGTCAATTTGCTTTTGAACTCAGAAATAGTCTCTATCTCACGTATAGCTAGAGGAATATCATTCCATTTGGAATGGGTCCTAAAGTAAAAGTTCTTAGCAAAAGCGTTAGAGCTTGCTCGTGGTAAGATCGAGCTTACAAAACATAAGGGGTCCATGTGGCTACTTCTTAACCTTGAGTGGCCTTGAAATGGTTGCAAATATGAGGGTAAGGTGACAGGAATATGTTGCTTCACAATTTTAAAGAAGAAAATAAGGTCAAGAAAGTCAAAGCGGTCTTCTATGGGCATAATCTTAAGCTGTCTGCATTTTTGAATGTATGTGGATGGTGGATAACTCATATACTCCTCGCGTAGAATCCACTTAATAGCACGCTTTTGGAGGCCCTCCAGCTTGCTTATCTGGGATTTTGTGACCGGTCTCCATATAGCTGAGCAATGCTCAAATTGACTTCTCATTAAAGTGAGATACAGTACTCTACGACGATTTACATCTTGAACAAAATAGCAATTTCTCCTTGCCATGCCTAATTTTTGGTTGGCCTTTGAAAGGACTTTAGAGCACTGGTCTTGCCAGTCGAGATTCTTGGTCACAAAAACACCCAGATCCTTTTCATGATCGACATAGTCAAGTGCGATTCTTCCCATGGAGTATACAAAGTTAAAGAGTGGTAGGACACTAAGGAGGGAAACTGTTTCGGATATCCTTCCTGCGACGGTGAGGACCTTACATTTGTCGGGATGAAATCTCATTTTATTAGAAAGTGACCAGTCATGGAGATAATCAATGTCCTTCTGCAGTCGCAGGATATCAGACTCCGAAACAATCTCACGCCAAATTTTAGTATCATCGGCATACAGTGACAGTTGTGTGCCTGGTGAAATCCCCACTGATATATCATCAATGAACATAATGAACTTCAAAGGTCCCAAAATTGACCCTTGTGGTACACCAGATTGGGCGTTTCTCATGGAAGAAAACTTACCATAAACTTTGATATTGTTTTGTATGAAAATCTCGTATCTCAAACAGCAGTGAACAACAAAGCGCCTACTTCAAATCTGACACCCACCCTACCTGTATGCAGTCCCTCTGTTTCGGGAAATCCTTCAGCAGACTCCACTGTTTGTTCCTGAAATCATATTTCTCGACAGTTCGTTCGTTCCAGCCTCCTAACGCTATTATTGTACCTGTAACATCATGTCGATGAGATTTGTATTATAGTAGATGTAAACTTCTCTGTGGAGCATTTAAAGCAGCCCAGTTTCAGCAAGTAGAATGTAGAATGTAGAATGTAGAATGAACGATGCATTTCAATTGTTGATTACTGTAAATGAGTCTAAATAGTTCAGCTGTAAATGAGTCTAAATAGTTTAGCTCGATGCAAGAGTCTGGGTTCGCATGTTGTCTAAATGCATTACTCACCTTCGACCATCGCAGCACAGAAAGCGTGCCTGAAATAAAAACAAGACTTTAATTCTCGAAGGACTAAAATAAAAGGAGCAAAATTGTTGCCGTAGCAACAAAGAATCTTGATAGGTTTCCGTTATTGTCTATTCTATAAAATTAAATAAATCACGTACGTGCGCGTAGAAGTTATGAAACTTAAAATTAAGCGCGTTCCATTTCTTACAACTCGTTGCCAGCCAAAACGGCTTTTACCTCAAGTTACGAGTCGCTTCACGAACAGCAGAAGTTTGTTTTTGGGTTTATTCTATAACCGCACAATTTAACAGCAGATAAACTTTAAATCCAGAAAATTAAAAGATATGCTTACTTATCTCGCTCACCTTGGTTTCAACATTGGCGGCATATTTTCCACAGATACCCCATCAGTTATAAGTTCTACAGAGGAGAGCTTATTTGTGCCGTATCCACCTAAAACTAGCACTCTGCTGGCCAATCCTCCGCCACTGTCAATACCTGAGGTGGTCACGTGATCTAGAATACAGAAATACAATGAATAGTCACAAGTTGAATACAACTTTATCGTGCATTATAAGACACGATCGTGCATAATAGTACATTAGCATTATACATTACTGACCGTAATAGTATAAAACCGCATTAAACTTATTTTATCAAAGAGAAGACTTCGAGTAAACTGTAAATTGACCAAGCGCAAAAGGCTTATGAATAATCGATACCAATTGTAATGTAAGCATGAATGTCACGTGAAACACTCAGGTGACAACATAAGAGTTCCTTGAAAAATAATCCTACAATGATTAAAAGTTTCTGATTGAACTACTAGACGCTAAACCGCCTTCACATGATTACTTCTGTTACAGTAGAGAGACTAGTTTGAAGTTAGATCATATTATATACTCCCTCGGAGTATCGTCTTGATATTTACGTGATAATTTGACCACTGCAGAAGTTATCCTATGCATGAAATAATATTCAGATATCGTGGTATGAATTGTAGAGTATGCACTGAATTTTGAATAGAGTACACAATGTATAATGTATATATACATGTATACAGTTTACTATGTATTTATGTATACAATGTACAGTATACTATGTAGTGTATACTATGTGTAAAGCAAATGTATTTTACCGATGGATGTTGCATGAGCCCGGGGGACAGTCAACTCTGGACCTGTTGTCCATTCCTGCGAAGCTGTATCGTATATCTGAAATAAAGTTTAAAGAAATAAACTTTCCGCTATATTAACATCACTAGCAGGAACCCGTCTAACCCTAAAGTGGTGTCAAGACTCGAGAGACTAAAATAATTATTACCTATTTAATTCGCGTTTTTGACACCACTTGAGAGTCCAAATTTTGGGCACTAAAATTATTATTCCTTGGCCAATTTTTTATTTTTTCATGCTGATTTGAAGGCCATTAAAGCATTTGACCCAGTCAAAAAAGTTTCAGTTGTATATGTTTTACGGTTTTTGCGGAAAGTCGCGTTAAAGTTGATGCCGTGGTGTCAGTAAAATGGCACGGATATATACACATATATATATCGTCTCGCTTTATATATAGTAATTAACATCATTACAACATTACTACCATTTAAGAAACAATTTCTAAGACATTCATGCTATCTTTAATGCAATAAAAGTAAGAAAAATTTACCTGAACAAGAGATGAAGGAGTAAGAGATCCAGTATCAGAGAGCTGATAACCCCCGATAACAAACACTTTCTTATCAGAGCTGGTAACAGTCACGTGATCACACCAAACTGGCACTTTGCCAACCTCTTTGTACCGTTGTGAGTGCAACTCCAACTGGTACAACTAATGGATAGGCTCATGTTAATTACGTTCAGTTTCTAGAAGAATGTTTGCGGACTGTCACGTAGCTATTCCATTACTTTCAACTCACAGCGACATATAATATGATACTCACAGCAACATATGATATTCGATCTTTTCAGTAAGAATGAAAAACAAGGCCTTCATCATAAATTTACTGCTAACCAAAAGTAAATTAACTAAATATTTATTACAGTTCAATAATATCACTAACAGTAACAATCCTAACCTTATCAGAAACACCACTATCAGACCGACCCCCCACCAAGTACACAGCCCCGTCCACAACAGTAGCTCCACCTCCATAACTCCTGGTTACATTCCTTCCGCCACATTCCACTGTAACGACTGGGAGCTGTGACGTCATCACTGTGACGTCATCACTGTGTGTTTTTGTGACGTCATCAACCGCTGGTGTGAAGGTGTTCCGGACGAAAGTGTTGGGGTCACGTGATAGCTTCGTGTGGTGAGGGATAAACACCTCAACGTCTGATGGGACTTTCTGGGTTGGGATTGTGTGCGGTGAGTGAGAGTACATACTATTTTTGTTGGTATAAATATTAAGAATAAGTTATTAGTTGTAAGAAATGCAAGCGTTTTACATTTGTCGCTGTAAGCCTTCATTCGAATCATTTTAAACCATACTGTGTAAAACAGTCCAACATATTCAGTAGTAAAGTAGAGTATATTTACCGTGTCTGCGAGCCCCCCGATAATATACACTCGCCCGTTTATCATACCCAGTCTCTCTTTACCCAACCCTTTACCTCCCTTAAAGTTCCTCCGCTTCCCTGACATGTCACGTGATGATGCTGATAATATCTCTTTGTAATGCTGCTTCACGTCCGGGGAGTTCTTCACCAGGTCACTTGTTATCACCTGGTAAACCACGTGGATTGAAGTCGTGTCACGTGGTGTGAAGTCGTGTCACGTGGTGTGAAGTACTGAAGTCGTCATACTAGATTTCGGAAAATTAGATGACAAAAAAATGTTTTTCGCAGAAATTCAAACCTTGTGTAATTCCTGATTCGAGAGAAGATCCACCATTAAACAGCAGAGAAGCTCTTCTTTGTAAAATTTCCTGAAATCTAGCGATAAACTCTGACCATTTTTTGGAAAAAACTGCAAATCGTAAGGTCTTAGCTTGATACTGTGGGATTTATTGTCAAATTGGTGTTTTCTTACATTAATCTGAAAAAAGGAGAAAAAGAAGCAAACTAACCTGCTGACAGGATCATGACCAATCCATCTCTCAATAGCGCTAAAAACAAAGATCTCTTGTGAAATGTTGAGATCACAGTCTGATAACAAATAAAACAGGAGCTTGCTGGAGAAATCTGTGGAATGTGGATGTAATTTCATCAGCTGTACTCGCAATCTGGTTAAACTGTATGTAAAAATATTAAAAGATCTAAGCTGAATTCAATTCGTATTTTTTCTAATAAATTAATTTGGTATAATTAGCAGACCTAAATAATCACTGTCCTCGTAGATCTCTTCAAAACACTTCATTATTATTCTAACTGCTGATCTCTCAGTGTTCTTTAAACCGTGCTGTACTGAAAGCTTGTAGATCTGAAACGGTCAGTCAGTCAGATAATTTAAATTGACGAATTTGTAAAAATATGTAACGGAAAATAAGAATTTTTGATAGCTTAATTAATAATTACACAATACACATGTTACGTCACTAAGAGTGATTTTCAGGAAAGGCTTGCTATTCCACAACTTGTACTGAGATTATCCCACAAAGTTGGCAAACATTCTTAAACTAATTAACATTCTTAATTAACATTCTTAATTAACATTCCTAATTAACATTCTTACATTTATACAGTTGTTGGGTGCTAAATGTTTTCCAAACAATTCCAAACATCTTTGTCTGACTGTTGGAATTTGTAGAAAATCTGCAGTGAGAAACACGTCCTCTATATTGAACGGACTTAACACCAGCTTTCCACTGTAGATGTAATCTGAAGTGTTTAAATACTGTGATACTTCCTTGTCAGAAATAACAACTGAATAACTGAATTAGCAGAAGGAATCAAATTTTGATTAATATTTTGTCTCTTTTTTAATTATGAAAAAGATGCAACCTGCTAAAACCAATGGTGCCCGTTGGAATTGTCCTCCTATGGTATGCGAATTACGAGGAGGTCAGGATTTGTGGCCCACCAAGCTCTAACATCGCTACCGTTGACCAGTGGCCTCCAATAAAGGATGTATCAGATTTAGAGAACTAGAGAATTAGAGAACGAATGATTCACTTACCAACAATAACTTTAACAGATCTGAAGTTGATGTGTTTTAAAGTGATGACATCACTAGACTGTTCCGAGAAAGGAGAGGTGAACATTGCATCAAAGTAATCACTGTACCGTGCTAATAACTCTTTGTCAACCTGATAATAGGTTGCAAAAACTGTTCTTTTATCAACAAAATAACATCATTGGAAAATATTTTTGAACATGTGAAGTATTCAAAATATTTAATTGATTTATTTTTGTAAATAAAATTGTCTGAACAAGCATAAATCTTGGACTAATCACTGGAAATTTTTGGAACGATAGAAATCAAATGGGTGATAAATTTAAAAAATGCTCTATTCAGTATATGCCCGAAATGCTAAAGTATCTATCAGAAATGCCCACAGACAAAATATAAATAAATACCTTAAGTGATTGTGACCCTATCTTTAATTCAATAATCATCTTGCAATTGTTGGATGGTTTTGAACAATGAGGCTTTAACACTTCTGGTGCAATGCCGAGCTGTAATTGAATCATTCAACCATGACCTGCACAGTAAGGGGAGATTTAAAGCATAAACAATTAATGAAACACAAAATTTCAGCCAAAATGTACTGGACTGAAGATTTTTAGAGTCAGTCAGGGCTATTATAGGAGACAAGGACAAAAGCATGATAGTACTGCATACATTTTCAAATATACTTGGGGGGAGGCCGGGGGTGTCTGCTGACATTGCTCTACCGGTAAGCCAAGAGCGGAATACAATTAAGTATGGCCTGTCGTGATATCATGGATTGATTAAGTTCCACCAGGATTCGATCTGGTAGTACACATAATTCTGCGGCCTGTATATGTATTGTTATCTCTCACAACTCCTTAACAAAAATACTAAAATAATCATCAGCATGTGAAAATTTGCAGACATTGATTGGGTTAACATACTTCACCTTGGGAATATCAGAAATCTACTTCTTCTAAACTCTCATTCTATCACTCAATCAAACACACCTTTAAACGAGAGCCCTACTTACAGTTATGCAAAGGCTTCTCTCGTCGTTATAGCACCACAAAACTTAGAATCAGCGCCCATGATCTCCATATTGAAAAAGGCAGATACTCCAACACACCCCGTGAGCAAAGACTATGTGCTTGGTGTCAATCAAGTATGGGCGTCGAGACCATCGAAGACGAGTCACATGTTCTCTACATATGTGACTTGTATTCAAAACAGAGGTCGAAATTAGTCAAAAATCTTTCTCAAATGCCACTCATTGAAATAAGCACTGAAATCACCGACTCAAGCAATATCAATGAAACAAATCTCAAAGTCCATCTTATGGAAATTCTGTCTCCTTACTCAACTGTAATTCCTCAAAATCACCAGAGCCTCCATATTCACTGCCACCGTTCACTTAATATTCAACCAGACACCCCACAGTATATTCAATTTCAAGAAAGGCGCTCCTATGCTGTCAATTGTGTGTGCACTTATTTCCTTCGCTGCTCCGAAGAGCGAAATAGCTTCACCGAAGATATGCGTCAACGTAATTCAAATGCACGAAACTTAAACAATTTTACTATCAACTTGGTGAGAACCTCGCGAATTAGTCATAATTAAGATTTAAGGATAACCCTGGCCCTGACTTCAAGGAAAGATGAATGTTTTCATTAATCTCTGTACAATTATGACGGTCCATGATAATGGATCTATAATTTAATTTTAATCCTGTGTAAATCCTGTGTAATCCTGTGTAATCCTGTGTAAATCCTTGAGATCAGGTGAAAAGGAGCTGACCAGGCCAGAACCCAGTTGATTGGGTCTGAAGTCATGTGACTATGAGCCTGAGGTCCAGTGCAGCGTAATGTTGCCTGTTGGGCTGAAAATCCGAACCCCTGTTGGCACCAGTGGCGTAACGAAAGGCCCTGCTGACCCCGCTGTGCAGGGGGGCGCCGTCTTAGGGGGGCGCCAAATCGTCGTTTGAATGTGGGTGGGACAATTTCGAAAACTTAACTAAAGTACTAGCAAAACTGCTCGTTTTGCTCTAGATACACACTTTTTTAGAGATTTTACTGGCGTATTCTCTAAAATCACCTAATTTGTTCAATTTAAGGGAGGGGCACCAAAAGGGGAGGGGGCGCCAACAGGGGGGCGCTTTTTTCGGCAGGGGGGCGCCAACAGGCAACGTTACGCCACTGGTTGGCACCCCCCCCCCCCCCCCCCCTTTGATGCCCCTCCCTAAAATTGAACAAATTAGATGATTTCATAGGATATGCCGGTAAAATATCTAAAACAGTGTGTTTCTAGAGCAAAACGCGCAGTTTTTCTAGTACCGTAGTTAAGTTTTTCCAAATTGTTCCACATTCAAATGACGATTTGGCGCCCCCTGAAGATTGCGCCCCCCCACCCCCAAACAGGTTGGCGTTACCCCCTATAATAAGAAGGGAAATTATAGAAGCTCAGATTTATTTTCTGACAGAAAGCTAGAAATTATCAAAATTGTCATAAACTCATTTTAATGACCATTCATGACCTTAAATTGCACGATAAATCGATTAAACCTGGATTCTGAACCCAAAACAATAATGCTTCCTTATGCCTTAAAATCCATGTTATACCAATATGGTCCAGTTTATCAGGTGACTGAAAAAACTCCCAGAAATTCCTTTAATCTTAACTACCCCTGTAAGGAAAATCCATTAGTTAGTTAATATATCATAATATAGAAAAAAATCATAATATAGTGACAAGACTGTGCCAGTTTTCAGCATTTTGGACTATAAAGTTTAAAAAGCACATAAAAACTGAATTTGGCGACTTTTAGCTGTTTAAAATTCAGAATATATTTCAGAATTATTCAAAGATTATTTGGATTTTGGTTTGTAGCGCGATGCACTACTGGGTCGCGCGCGCATCAAATAATGCTTCTCGCTACACTTCGGTAGATCGGCGAGATGCACCACTGTGCCTCACCGAGCTGCGAAGGATTGACATCGTGAATCAAGATTTTGGTCAAAATACTTACGTATTAGCTGTGCCCAAAATTGAAAATGATTAAAATGTCATTGATTTGGTAAAATTTTGAGTTTAGATAAAGGGGTTTTTGATTCACGATGTCAATCCTTCGCATCTCGCCGATCTGCATACGTGGTTGCGAGAAGCATTATTTGATGCGCGCGCGACCCAGTAGTGCATTGCGCTACAAAAGGGGTTCGTGTACAAATCCCTTAGCCCATACTTTGAACTGAAACAACTTTCGCAAGAAACGTTGATCTCTAATAATATAACTTGGGAAAAATTTAGTGAGTATGCCTCACTATGTTTGTATTCTGGTATTTACTAAAATTTCATTCAGTTTGACGGATGTTACTCGCGACTCGTCTAAATTTCTTCGAAGTAGTGCGCGCCGCTTTCTTCTCGAAATGGCCCGACGGCAAGTGGTACGAAGTAGCGCGCGCCGGGCTGGACCATTAACAATGGTCAACATTCAGTTCGCGAAGCAATAATGATCCCACTAAAACGCTGATCGCCCCAAGAAAATAATTATTGTGCTGTGAAAAGAGTCCGAGTGTATGAAAGTCTTGTCATACGTTGTATGACCCGCCGCGCACGAGTGCGCGGCTCCCCCTCACAGGGGGAGCTGAAACCAGGTTTACGTTTTCGATCAAACGCTGGTTTCAGTCCCCCCTGTGCCCTGTATCGTCGAAACTCTATAGTGAAGCGACCCTGGGGGTCACCACGTGATACAGTGAAAGTCGCCTGGATCGGTGTATTTTAAAACGCTTATTCCGAATTATCCCCCCCAGGCGAAGGGCAAAAATGCTTCACATTATGGTATACTGAACTGAGGGCCAAGGCTCTCCGTGCTCTCTATGGCCTCAAAGGCAATATCGTCAAAGCAAAGATGCCCTCTCTCACCGTTCTCTAAACATTCTATTTGACTCTCTAATAAAACCGATACTACTCTATGGCTGCCAAATCTTATGTCCTCACTCAAAAACCATGAGATTCCTCTCCAAAACAGATAGCAAAGCCAACCCCCAGCATACTCTCAGGTACATCTCACAAGACCACTATGAAAGATTCCACCTTAAGTTTATCAAGTGGTCCTTGTCTGTCCATTCAAAAGCATCAAATATAGGCTGCTGGGGCGAAAGTGGGCGCCACCCCCTCTTCTTTGAAGCCTGCAAACTTGCAATAGATTTCTATACTCGCCTTGAAAGCACTGAAAATGAACTTCTCTCCGCTGCATTTCACGAGCAGATTATGCTGGGCCTTCCTTGGTACACCAACATCTCTAATCTTCTCACCAAATATAACTTCCCCCACTCATCCTCTTCAAAATCCAAGCTCTCTACCCAAATCAGTCACAACATGAGGGAAGAATTTGTGGATACCTGGAAATCTGCCAAGGCATCCTCACCTAAATTAGAATTCTACAATCAAATTAAACATGATTTTGAACCATACCAGAAACCATACCAGAAACCATACCAGAAACCATACCAGAAACATACTTAGGAGTGGTTAAGATCCCCGATGCTCGGAAAAGCTTAACAAGGTTTCGTATTAGCTGCCACAATCTTTACATTGAGAGGGGCCGTTACGAAACCCCCTACTACCAAGAGAACATCGATGGTGCACTTTTTGCTTTTTCAGCAAGGGGCTTAAGCCTATTGAGGACGAAATTCATGTTCTAACTGACTGTTTACTCTACTCCTCAGTTAGAGAAAAATTTAACTTCCATCCCAAAAATATTACTGACCTAGCCGGTTTGCTATCCGATAAAACACTAGACCCTACAAAATTTACTGCCACAGCAAGAGCAATCCATTCAATTCTCTCTGTGAACGAAAATTTTACAGCCTACTATAAGAGCCCAGATTTCCACTCAAATACTGGCCAATGCATAATGCTATAGGACCTCAAAAATAGTATTATATTAAACATTTCTATTTTATCCCTACACATCTGTAAATAACTAGAATTGTGTAACCTTAAATTATTTCAGAATTATAACTATTGTGAATTCAATAAAATAATTATCACTTTTGTATCCTTGTATCCTTGTATCCTTGTATCCTTAGGGTTGGTATTAATAATTTGCGCGGCACGTCGAAGCGGCGAAGTCCTCAAACATCAAAGAACTTAACAATTAGAAATAATTTATTTTGTACTGCGCCGTGCCGCGCATCCAATAATGAGTCTTGTGAGATTGGAGATGCGCTACTAGGCCTTGCCGAGCTGCGAAGAATTGGCATGATCGTCAATTAAGGATTTCATTTTTATTGATTGATGATGTCAACCTTTTTAGATCTTACTGGGTGGTGCTCAACTTGTCATTCCGCCCAATCTTTATGTTTTTGAACATAACCTTGCATCGTGACCTTCGCCCTGATACACACTATGTAAAATAACAATGGGGTCACAACGTGATATAATAAATGTACACTGTAAACTGTAAAGTGTACAACGATATCCATTTATACTAGTCTAAAAAGAAATTATATTGTAATAGTGCAAAATGTGTTATCCCAAAATAAAATTGCGAAACCCAATTTTGTGGCTGTTATTAAAATTCGCCTGCAACTGATCTAGTTCTCAATTTTGTATTCCACATTCGCATTTTATTTTTACTAATTGATATTAGTAAACAAATTACTTTGTCTTCCTGCCCTCGATATGCTGTCAATTTCACATGCAAAAAGTGCATCAAAGGAAGAAAGGGACTACTTATTAATGGCGTTTAGATAACATATTTTTGACTGATAGTATAGCATGCCGTTCAGCCATCCGAGTAGTGACCCCCTGAGCTGGAGGTAGCTGGTCGACTGGTAGTATGCCTTGAAAACCTTTAAGATCTGGTACAATCAGTGGTCATCCCTGCCCTAGAGCTGCAGACAGCTGGCTCTGGAAAAACTGTTATTAGTACGTGTATATTACGCTGGGATTTTGTTGTCCATGTAGTAGTTAAAACGTTGCAAAACACATAGGCGAAAAGCTGCATTTAATATAAGATTGTAAAAGTGACAGAAGTCCATTGAGGACAAAGAACTCCCTATTTAGCACTGTTCCCCGACAGTTATCAGTAAGCACTAAGCAGGATGTCAGGGCAGCCAACTTTTGTTTTGTTAATAAGACCTTGTCAGCATTTCAGAATGGACTGCCGCTATAATGAAAAGCCACTAATTTAAACACCAATTGAACCACTTACTGCAGTTATTTTGCTTTGTCAGTGTTTTGATGGTAGTATACCAACAACTAAAAACTAGTCCCATTTTCTTGATTAAGTGATTTGTTAATTGCAAACACGCAATTTTCACTCTTATAAATCAAGATACGTACTATCTTTGTTTTACTAAAATTTAAGTTTTACCAATATTCAAATGACTGATATACATGGTAATGTATGATATAGATAATTAGATATGACTTTTCCAATGTTATGTTCAAACATGCTAAAAGTATTCAGAGTTCAGTTAAACAAAAATTTCAGTTTTAATTTGTTTAAAAACAAAAATTGTAATTTTATGCCATTTATTAATCATTCTTTCGCTAATAATTTATATGAATCAAATCATAAAATCATTTGCCCATTAAAAACATTACAGTTCAATGGATGTTTTATTTGAGACATCAATTTTAACATGGGTGGAAGAATCATCTAACAACAAGTTTCGTCAACCCATTACAATCTGCATATCCTACTCCTCCAACAACACAGGTATTGTATTGTAGTAAATTATTTAATATTTTAATCTTGATTGGTTAATCACTAATCAAATAAAATAATTGCATGACTTGAAAAAGTAAATAGTGTATACATAGATGGTGCTGTCAATAATTTTACTGTGTGTAATTATATGCAATGTCTCTATGTTTTAAAATAAGCAAAAATATCAGGACAACGGAAAGATCTCAACATCAGAGCAACGAATCCTGAAAATGCATTCATGCTTTATAACTTAAAATTGAATGAAGACGATTACCATAACCTGAAAACGCAACAAGGTGAGTTTTGTAATGAACTAATAGAACAAATTATACGAATAAGACTCAAATTTGTAACTGATATAAATAAGCCTATTTATATCTGGTAAAATACTTCAGAATCGTCACCTAAGTCTTATGATCTCTTAAATGTTAATTGTGATTCCTTCATAGGACTCCTGATAGATTTTCCTTCCTTCCCTGCAAAGTTTGTAGAGTTGTTACGTGCATGTGAGGGCGGTCAAGACAAGTTTCAACTCCACCTTATCATTCAGCATTCTACTGCTGTTCTCCAGGTAATGTTCCTTCACAGTATAGTAAATTTGTAAATTTCTTGTTGTAAAGTATCAGATAATCGTGTATTACACATCGATGTACCAACATTATTCTTGCCAAAAGGTTAATATTATACTATATATTATTCTTAAATACTATAAAATAAAGTACTATAGTTATTCTTAAAACAGGTAGTAGAAGTAAACCCCTTCAAGCATCTTGTACATCTCTCCCTGAATCTTTCTACAGCTACTGACGCTGTCATCAAGAAATACCTCTCTGGTGAGTGTTCTGCACTAAGTACTTTATTTGTGGTTTAGTATCATTTAGTTCATGGTTTGAAATTCTACCAACTTTAAATTAAGTTAAGGTACTTTATTGGATAAGCAGTATTATTCTTTTATTTAGCTCAAGCTTTAATGCATCTCTTACTCCAGATTGTCTACGAGATTTACAGAAGAAACACAAAGATTTGCATCAAAAGCATGATTCAGAAACTTCACAATTTACAGAGAAAATAAAATGCTTAGAAGAGTCGTCCATACAACTTAAAACTCAACTGCAAGGTTGATAATTGTACTATTTTTGATAATTGTACCATTTTTAATACTTCCAGCACTGCTGTCTGCTATGTAACAGATAGTTAGAGTTCTGATGAACCTGTATGAACAGACAAATCCATCTTAAGCTAAATTATCCCCAATAAGACATCATATCATTTGTTCAACTGTAATAGAGCTTCTAGAAAATATAATATACATTAAACATATTCTATGTGACCAATAAACATTAAAAGATTGCCCAATCATGCAACTTCGTCATAAAACAAACCAGGTGGAGCCCGAGCCAAGGAACTAGAACTAAGCGAGCAAAGCGCATTGTTAAAGGAGCAAATGCAGAAGGAAAGAGATGCAGGTGCTCACTTCCAGAAAGAAATTCAGGTATTTTCAAATCGTAAATGGGTAATTTTATCTTTGTCACGTCATGTGAGTTTCGTGCCATATTTGAGATCAGCGTACTATATTCTAAGAATCAGATCTCAGTTTTTCACAAACTTCTGCTTCTAGTTTAAGAAATATGATCCTACTATCTACTCTCTAAATATCCATCCATCTTCGCTACACTGTTATTTGTACAGCTATATTTTCGTCCCTAAAATGCAAGGGCTTTTGCTGATTCCAGTTACTTACTGGAGTACTACTGTGACATGCTTGTCTGATTGATCTCATGAACTTCTCTAGAGATGTCACATCTTCAGATTTTAAAACAAGTCTTCCAAGACCAAAGCTTCAGTTTAAATCTCTCTGAGAACCTCATATTTAGTCTCTCTGTCATAAATCAGTATTGCTACGAATCCCACCAAAGAAAAGAATAGGAAAAACCCCAAAACAGAATAAGGACTAACATAAAACAACAGGTACACAAGCGCAGTGCCTAAAACACCGCCTGCCTTTCCCCAACCGTTGATAAACCCAGTCGCTGTTGACCGGATGTTCGTGGGAAAACTTTCCGGTATCATGATCCAAACTGTAACATTTATAAAAGCCTCTACGATTTTAGCAATAGTTGATGTTACAAAGGTGAAGGTTTCATTGACACACACAAACATACATCCTATTGAGAGTAACATGACAAAACTTGCCACTCTTATTGGAACCAAACGGCCTATACGTTCTGCTAGAAACAATGCTGCTATAGTTCCGAATATGCTTCCAACAGTCGCTATTGTTATCTTCCACAAATCATCCTGCGAGAGAAGACGACACTCGTGGGTTACTGTGTGAGATGCCCCGCACATATCAGAGCTGAAGATGAGAGGGAGCAGGACTATGAGACCAAATTCTATTAATAGATTGCTGAAGTAAATTACTGAAAGTGCAATGATTGACTTTCTGTGTTCCTTGTTCAGGACTGTGGAGTAGGACCCCAATTCCTCGTTATCAAAGCAAGCCATCTGTATATTACCTGGTAGTTCCCTTCCATTCAGATTAGCCATGGTCCTAACAGCTTCCATAGCTTTGTCCTGTTGTCCACTGACACAGAGAAATCTAGGAGATTCAGGAAGAACAAGTATTAAGACTAGAGCTGGTAAAGCTGGCGTTGAGACAAGCATGATGAACCAGCGCCACCCAACTATTTGTAAGAATAGAAATGCCATACCATTCACTGCAGCTACCCCAACAAACGAGCCTAAAACAACGGTCGTCACTCCATAGGTCCGGTAACGACTCTCAGCAATTTCAGTGGCATAGCAGATAACAACACTCGTGTTGATCCCAATACATGCACCCGTGAACAATCTACTCACAAGAAATACCCATTTATTTGATGATGTAGCCCCGAGAAACGCTGCCAACAACAAAAACATCGTTGACCATATCACAACTTTTTTCCTTCCGTAAATGTCTGCAACTCTTCCAAACACAGCAGCCAACAGTGCATAAGACCCGTACACGGTTATCGTGATGGCTGTTTCAAAGGTGGTAGACAGGCCCCATTCACATCTCAAGATAGGCAGAATTACTGACAGGAGTGTTAACTCAGCATAGTCCGAGTAAACAACAAGCAGGACCATCAACCAGTACAGATACTGGGTCGGGCCTAGTCCTATCATCTCGTATATCTCCTCTAGTTCTAGAATGTTCTCGTCGGATTTTTGGGACGTTGAACCGTAATATTCAGTGGGGGAGTTATCTCGGTCAGCGGTAATATCTTGTGTCTCATCTGCCATGTTTGTCTTTGTTTTTATGCTAGACATATTTATTCACCTGAGATTGCTAGTGTTTAAATGTTATACTAGCCGAATATGGGATTGTTTACATATCAGGCTTGCTTAATGCTTATCTGCAAACGATTCCTAGTTGAACGTGGTTTTAAAGTAGGTACTTTCCTAATCGTAGGTAGGGGGGGGGGGGGGGGGGGCAGGTAGCAACAGTCAACACTACAGAGAACATCTGCAAACAAGAAAAAGATTGTGAAATTTTATATGGTCACAGCTCAATAAGATATAACAGCACCACTGCACGGCTGCACCAGTTTCCCGTGTGGTCTTTCTTTTATATTAAGAAATATTCTTTTATATTAAGAAATGTAACTGTAAAACATTGATGTAAAATGTATAAAATTTGGTCGGAAAACAACTTATCCGTTGTTTTGATGTGAGTCATAAGGTTGGTCATAAGGTGGGCTTATACTTGTCAATTTGTCTACGTTTTTAAAAAAATCGTTTAAATCAAATAATAAAGTACTTATAGATTAGGCGATTCTGCAAACCTTGAGTAGATTTAAATAGTACTGTTCTTGTCGGGCTCGCTTTAAAAAAACCCTCTCATCCGGTCATCACTCTAAACCCTTATCCCTTATCCCTCATTTTCCCTCTTATTTTCCCTTATTTCCCCTCTTATTTCCCCTCTTCTTCTATTCGACTCAGAGTTAAAGATTTCATGTGCATCATTCCACTGGCATTAAAAGTCGCAGCTTAAAAGTGTGAGTGTGTTTGTGCGTGTGTTTGCGTGTGTGTTTGCGTGTGTGTTTGTGTGTGTGTGTGTGTTTTATTGCTAAGCTCGTGAGATTAGAACATGTCATTTAAATTATCGTAACGTTGACTCACTCTTAAGTTGGAACTTAAATGCCTACTATGGTATATGTAACTTATCTAATATAACATGATTAAAATAACATTAAATATTTAACTTACTTTATCGCTCAGGAAAGAGCAGATTTAGCAGAGAAGCAACTGGAGAATAAGATAAAGGATTTGGAGGGTAAAAGTAAGAAGTTGTTTGATGAGAAATGTAGGTACGAGCTTCAGAATAGAGAACTAATCGCTAAGGTGGGTCAATTGTCTCTAAACTTTCTCTAAACTTTCTCTAAACTTCCTCTAAACTTTCTCTAAACTTCCTCTAAACTTTCTCTAAAAGTTCTCTAAACTTTCTCTAAACTTTCTCTAAACGTTCTCTAAACGTTCTCTAAGGAGGGTGAACTTTAATCTAGTCCGAGGAATCCTATCTCTCCTAGCATCCTAATATCCCTAAGATGTTGTTACTCTTGTCTCATATTACTCATTTCTAGTTAAATGTGGAATTGCAGTAAAAATTAATGTTCTTAGCTATTCTCTACAAAAAACACAAGCAAGTAAATAACACAAGCGCGAACTTAGTAAAAAACTCTAGACTTTCAATAGAATTTTTATTATTGTTAAAAAGTCGTCACCTTTGAATGCTAAACTAACTGTTTTTGAAACCTCAGGTGAAACTGTACGAGGAGGAGAGGCTAACTGAAAAGGGAGAGATTAAACACTTGAAGATGGAGCAAAATGAAATGGAGAAAGAAAGGCAAAACGATGTGGTAATTGATTTACTCTTTTTGTAAATATAGCCGAGTAAATACGACAAGTAGAATACACTTTTTAAAGTTTAATTCGCTACTCGCTTGAAGATCTCATAAACTTTTAAATTGAAGTTTTAATTAAAGTTTTGATTGATAGTCATTAACAATAACTGGTCCTCAGAAAGAGTTACACTCGGTAAAGACGCAACTAGCAGTAGCAAGACAAGAACTAAAAGACAACCAGCTTACCATAACCAATATTCAAGAGCAACTTACCGTTTCTACTGCTCAGAAATCCAAACTTGAGAATCAGGTGGAATGTTTGTTAGATTACATATGAATTAAAAGATTAGGCGGTCAAGCTAGTGTTCAAACTACATAAAATCTGACAAATCAACTGTGCTACAAGTTTATAATTATTTGTATTATAAAGAGATTTTTCGACAAATTGAAGGACTAAGCTTATATATTCGGTCCTGATTTAAACAGCATAATAGATTGTACAACTTTTGAATAAATATTTACCGATAAAGTGCTGTATAAAATTTTACTTTTATTTATTTATTTATTTATTATAATGTTTAAATACTCTTCTCCAGATCGACACGCAGCATTACCAATGTGTAAAGTTGGAAAACACTGTCAGAAGCGTTAGTGAGGAGGTGAGATAAGTGGATAATTATCTTAATTACTATTTAATTAAGTAATTACCAGAGTTTAATTTAATTAATTAATTACCAGAGTTTAATTTAATTACATAATTACTAGAGTTTAATTTTATTAAGTAATCACTAGAGTTCAATTTAATTAAGTAATCACTAGTTTTATATAGAGAACGTGTTTCCAAATGGATTTTAACAATGTTTAAACAGGTTGTGAAAGGGAATGAGATTATAACTAAGATGCAGAACGATTTAAAGAATTACCGAAGTAAACTAAAGATAAAACACATGCAGACAGTTCAACAGGAGAAGGTATTTAATTTTAATTAATATAAACCAATTTAATTTAATTTAGCCAACTTAATATTATTGACTCTTAAAGTCAATTCAATGATATAATTAACTAATTATGGACCCTGATCATTAGAAAAGTTCGCAAGAGGCAGATCACTTTCTTTTACGATTTTTCAAAATTTGACTTAGATTTCATAGAAAGGGCTTTTTAGAATTAGGTGTATGATATTTCACACATCTTTGGTTCAACTTATTAACTAGAACTTACGATCCAAAGTATGTTTAATGCATTTAGTCGGGGGCTAGCGAGTCATTTTAAAGTCTTTTGCAGCGAGGGAATTGTTGACAAGCAAGCATGAACTAAAATTTCAACTATAATTTCCGCTAGAATAACAAAATTCTGAAACGTTGTTAGTTGTTATGAGTATAAGTGTAAGTTCCAACCACAAAGTGCGGTGTCTCTCGTTCAGTGACGTTTGATTTATCGTGATTCATGACGTGAAAAGTTAAGTTATCGGAAAAGTTGATAAAGCAAACAAGCGAATAGAAAGGACAAATTATTATTCGAAATGAAAAGCTGATCAAGTTAGTGTGTACGCCGTAAAATTAGGGGTTAGCAACTCTACGATGCAATGGTTCCAGCAAGAAAATTCAGACAAAAGGTTTCTACGAAACACAAACTCTGAATTTATTGCAATGTTTGTTTACGAAAAAGCTTACCTGTAGCCGCGTAGCCGTGTATAACTGAGCAACTTGATGAGGTAGACGTATCGAGGCGCGGTAATTCGGGGTTCTACTGTTTCTCGTATTAACTAATTGTGTAACATTATTCAAGACAATACAAGAGAAAGATGAGGAAACCAGAAAACAGAAAAAGCAGATAGAATCGTCTGAAACGGAGATAACAGACAAGCAGAACATTATTGAGAAACTCGACGCTTGTAAACTTGAGATGGAGCTACGAATCGATGAGGTTGGGACTAATAATAATAAATTGGGACTAATAATAATAAATTCACCTGAGCAATGTTTACCGGAAGTCGGAATGTGATATGCCACGTTTACCTGCCACTCCACATTTTTGTAGAAAGTATCCTAATTTTGGAGATCACTAAAATTAAAATTTATATCCCAGTACCAAAAAACGCTGAAGAGTAACGAAAATGTGATAGCTTGGCTGAACAAGCAAATAAACGACAAAGTGTCCCTGGGTATTGGACCAAGGTCACTTCCCTCGCTGCTGCGCAACACTACTGCTGACATGCGCGCCCCGGGTGCTGACATGCGCGCTCCTGGTCCCTATGGTCCTCCGCCAAATCGGGGTCCTATTCAGGACTTGAGGAACACAGGCTCTGCAAAACCAATGGGACAAGATAGGTAACTGAAATTTTGTAACTTGTAAAATGTTTCCAGGAAAAATTAGGATGGATACTCCGTCTATTTGAAAGCGAGTTGGTGCTGTTTCTTAGATTATGCCTATGGCAAAGATTTTACAATTGTTCAAAAAAACAAAAAATTTTCATTTCAATCAAATACAGCAATATTTCAGATATAACAGAGGTGAAATGAATAGTTCATCAACTCCAGCTATTGATATTTCTAACACTTCACGTGAGTTTATTAACTTTAAAATACAGTCTAGTCTGGCATTGTCATTCCTCTGTTTAAATCATGTCAGTAAGTTTGTTTTTTGTAACCTTTTTTTATTCCACCAAAATTGACGTAACCATGCTAGAAATGGGTAGAAATTAGTCTGATTTCTCTTAGATGTCCAACTTGAATGCCGTTGATTAGAAATGAGCTCATTATAATTTCACTGACAGGAACCCAGCGAGGAGGTGATTACCACCATTTATCAAGTTTTGAGAACAGTAAGAAAGATGACAGTCTACTAGACGAATGTTATTTGAAGGATTCAGAGAATTTAGTGGAAGATACACTGAAATCAGTGTCCGAGACGCCAGAGCAGGTAACTAAAAAAATCATTTAAAAAAAATCGAAAGAAAGTCTGAGAAGTGTGAAATGTAATGACAATCAATTAAAAAACACCCCTTCCTCTAAATTAAGTGCACGACGATGTGATGCAGATATTCTGTGATGTTGTGATACGAACGTGTGTGAACTGTGAAGTGTGAAGTGTGAAGTGTGAACTGTGAACTGTGAACTGTGAAGTGTGAAGTGTGCGAAGTGTGAAGTGTGAAGTGTGAACTGTGAACTGTGAAGTGTGAAGTGTGAAGTGTGGAGTGTGAAGTGTGAAGTGTGAAGTGAAATCGGACATACATAATATGATAGCTGAATTATGTAAGTTTATTTTTTTGACATCATCGTATCATATCAAGTACGGTTTGTCATGATTTTAACATAACTTGCTAAACCAACAAAAAAATTTTGCGTCCCAAAAAAAGTTGGAATAATTTATTCCGTGCGGTATTATAACCACATACATAACAATAGAAATAAGAATTAAACATTTCTTCACCTTCTGCGATCTAAAAATACCTAATTTCTAATTTTCGCAGGTTATTACAATTGGAAACAGGGGAAAGAAAGTGTTGTCCCAAAGACAGAATGATACGATTAGTTCTACACAAAGTAAACCACATTCCATCCTCAAACGTAAGTTTAATCACTGTGTTACGATTTGTTTTTGAGAGTTTGCCACATATAATCATGATAATGTTTCATGATACGAGTTGTTTAAAAAATAAAAATTGCTTTCGGTTTTTTGGGAAAATATTAATATATTCCTGAACAATTTTTTTGCAGGCGGCACAAGATCGAATGAACCGCCTCTTATGAAAGCGTATGCCCCTTGATGCAAAACCTCCTGCTAGTTCATCAGATAATTCAAACTAAACGAAGATCAGTTTTACGCCTTATAAGCCACATTTTGAACATTAAAGAACTTAATCCTTGCATTTGTACAGATACTTCAAATCGATTAGCATATTTATGATAGTTTCTGCTGCCTGGTGCAGAATATTTTGAATTAACCGCCGCTGACCGTATATTTGGCAGTTATGTATCTTTTGTACTCGCAAAATGTGTCCTCAAATGCTTGCAAAGTTGAATTTCAGTGCTCTGTGTAGTAACGCTCGGCGTGCGCGCGTCGGGGGCGGATTCCAGCGCCAATTTCAGATTTATCCACCTTTTCATACCCGAATATACATGATATTCACTGAAGTCTGAATTGTTCTGAATACTAGAGATTGAATGTTACGGCCCTTGTTATTGTTATTTTGTGAAATACTAAGATTTGTACATAATTTACCGGTTGTTGAATTGTTTTACTTGAACTGAAATATTACGAGTTTTGCTTTGTTGTCAAATAAAACCGCGAACTTGTTAAATAAAATGATATTTCATATTTGGCATAATATCAACAGCAAATTAACAACTTGTCATTGTAACCAGATGCTTCTTTCTAGCCCGCAATTAAAAAAACCAAAATCACCTAGTCACAAATACAGACGATCGAACATTGAATCGATCTGCATGATTTCATGTCCCAAATTGATAGGATGGCAATTACTTTTAAAAAGTCGTCTTTCAACTCCTAATATATATGAGAAATAAGGTACTGAAATTGAGCACAGCTTGGCTTTAACAGCGGAAACATCATAACAGAATAACGAGTAACGATACAAAAAGGAAAATTGAAATTTAAGCCATCCAAACTTTGAAGTTATGACAATAAATCTACAGTCCCACTTCTTGGATCGTCTGGATGTCTCTGATAGAAACTATTTAACCCATTCTGAGAGGGATTAGATCGCAAAATTCACCGTCATACAACTTCCGTCCACTACGCTCCTGAGATTATTGTAATTACGAATGGGCATTGACTAGTAACTGAAATTTCATCGCTTCAATGAAAGAATTCAAAGAATACTCAAACATTTTCCTGTTTCACTTCTAATTTCTAAACGAGTCTAAAATACTCCAATATTCTAAGAAATAGGCCCTATGTTACCTGTGAAACTTGCGACGGCAAATGACCGCATCTTTTGCATGCTCGAAGGTAACAACAGCTCTCCTTTCAGCTGGATACGTTAACACTTCCTGGGATGAACATTTTAACGGATACAGTCATCATATCAGATAATGCTGGTTTTAATATTAACGGTGCTAATGAAGTTTCCATCAAATGGTGGAACCCTCTCGTTTAAAGCTAGGTTTGTAGGGTATGGGACATGGGTTCAGCTATTAATGGTTCAGCTGAGTTTCGGGCAAAAGGTTACGTCTAATGTGAATTATGTCAGAGACTCAGAGTATCAAATGTAGCACATCTATCAATACATTGGTGGGCCTTAATACTGGATCAGTCAATACGGTTGTACCCTAAATAATAGCGCAAGAGGTTTACAAAAAGAAAATGGGTTTGCTGTAAACTATAAACTGTAAAGTCTGTAAAGTCTGTAAACAGTAAACTATAAACTGTAAACTATAAACTATAAACTGTAAACTGTAAACTGTAAATTGTAAACTGTAAACTATAAACTATAAACTGTAAACTATAAACTGTTAACTATAAACTGTAAACTATAAACTATAAACTATAAACTATAAACTATAAACTGTAAACTATAAACTATAAACTATAAACTGTAAACTATAAACTGTAAACTATAAACTGTAAACTATAAACTGTAAACTATAAACTGTAAACTGTAAACTATAAACTATAAACTATAAACTATTAACTATAAACTATAAACTGTAAACTATAAACTATAAAGTGACATACCTTGACATTCCCAACGCTTGAGAAAAGTTCCCGAATTCTGCTTTTTGTGGTGCAGACACTCAGATCTGTTATAAGTAAGGTAGTGGTAGGATCGTCTAGTTCAAGCTGAAATAAGTGGAATTGTGAAACAACATATATAACGTGTACGAAAGAAAACAGAATTAGCTGCCATTTATTATTCGTCTTAATCTGGTGGCCCCTGTGACACCTTCGTGGGCCTCTTCATGATTTTGGCCCACAAATTATATTACAATTAATGTCATTACCAATGTATTAGGTGATAGGTAAAAGTATCTCTCGATATTGTAAACACATATTAAACCAATAAAAAACAACAGCATGCAAAGTCATGCTTGACAACAATAATCATCGATGAAAAATCTAGAAATACTTACTCGTTGTTTATGTTTGGGCGATGGAACATACTCGAAGTTAGTATGCAATTTAATAGGACTCCTACTTCTGCTCCTTATCCGGTGACGGTTCATGTGCACTGCCATGGTTCCCCCCTTGATGATCCCTTGTTCTTCTAGATTCTTTAATATCACCTGATTGGTGTATTTATAAAATCTGCTGCTGATTTGTTTGCTGCTTAGAACTTTAGTTTGTAAACCTATGTGTACTAAAGAGGTAGAATACAATAATATATTATATCGGAATACCACATATCCCGATGACTGGAAGGCTATTTTGATGAGCCTAAGCAGACAGAACGAATGTGAAGCACAACCATTTTTACAAAATTAGTTCATTGATTGGTTGCATCAGAAGCAAACGTCATAGCGCTTGCACCCCCGCTAATAACAAATTGTCACGTGACTTACCTCCGTTCTGAACTTGGGGTTAATGTAAATCATCCTTCTCTCCTTAATGTGTGAAGGAGCATACGCAGGAGGAGGATACTGAAATAGGGACGCCTTGAGACATTTAGGGGAAAACAGCCGCTTTTAAAACTGGAATGAAATAGCAATCGAAAAATCTGTGCCTAAAATAGTTCGGCTGTTTCAAATTGAAACTTTTACGATATCTGCCTCATCAGATAAAAACCATACTTAGCTCTATTGTACATGCGTTGTCTTACCCTTGGAGGTTGTGGGAGTACGGGCGGTAACGGCAACATGGGCGGTATAGTAATGTGTGTGCACGTGTGAGGAAGTGGGGGTAGGATCACTGGAGCTGATATTTGAGGTAAAGTCGGCAGGGTCTTCTTGTCCACTGATGGCTTTTGAGACCTGGGAAAATGTAGACTTATTTATGATTCCTCGTTTGCTACTCAGGTTTATTATGTTGTATCTTGTAGCAGGTTTCCCAGAATGTGAAAAACTGAGCAAGGAAAATTCGGAATTTCTTCTGTAGGTTATCCGTTACAGGTATTCCGTATCATGTAACAGATTTATTTTATTTCGTCGATTTTTAGATTGAATTATATATCTAAATCGATCGATCACGCCGCGCAAACAAAATTTGAAAGACGCACTTTTTATACAAAGAAGTGGCCTGGAGTTCGCGCGGGTAATGATGGCATCCACGCGCCATTTTTAGTACCGATTTGAGCGTACTGTTTTAGTTTCAGACTTAAGATTTGTTATTTGTATCTCTCGAATATTTGCAGATTACGCCATATATAGCGGGAAAGTTTTACTGAGCTTTAATTCAACTATATTCCATTGTGCAACTTGTAGGGTTTTTAGGGAATGTAAATTGTATAGTGCTCTATTTATTTATTTATTTAATTTATTCTATTCAATGGTGGTTTTTAAAAACTCGCTTACTTCTTCTCCTTAGAGCCGCCGACTAACACGCTGATTTTCATCTGAGAGATTTCCTTCTCATCCTCCGCCTCATAATCCAAGTCTTCGTCCTAAAATAGAATTGTGTTACATTATCAATTGTTTGTTATTTAACTAGAAACACACTAAATGTTACATTATCTATTGTTTGTTATTTAACTAGAATCACACTAAGTGTTACATTATCTATTGTTTTTTATTTAACTAGAATCACACTAAATGTTACATTATCTATTTTTTGTTATTTAACTAGAATCACACTAAATGTTAAATTATCTATTGTTTGTTATTTAACTAGAAACACACTAAATGAGCAGACTTGCATACTGTACAACGTCAGCATTAAGCAAGTGAATCAAACAAACATTATATTTTTGTTCACTCAAAAGACACAAATTGTTGTCAATTTAAGTTCTAAAAAATTCGAATATTAGAGATATTTACCTCGTTTTCTGACAGAATGTCTTGTTTGACTTCAGCTTTCTTGACAGCTTTCTCTGGCGACTTTTTGTTCATTTTAAAAACTTCGTCTAAGGTGACCTCTTCTCCGCCTGGACAATATCCATATTAAAACAATGTCATAAGGTAGACTTCCTCATTATCTGATCCAATTGTATATTTTAGGAATTTACATGAGGAATTTATCTTACCTTCTGGGGTATGTGAGTCAATATTATCTGTACTCAAATCACTATAAATATCCACCTCTTCAACATCCAGATTCCGCACCATCTGTAACGGTTCTAAGGCAGATACTTTAACTGGTTTAACAGGAGATTCAACCTTTTCTAAAATCACTTCTGGCTCTGATAATTGGATCTCTTTCTCAATATTTGTGAAGTCTATTTTACCCATAACTTTGATCTTCTTAGTAGGCTTCCGATTCTTAACTTGTGCAATATTTTCAACATTATCTGATACTGATTTATCTGGAGATTCAATAAAAGTTGGGCTCATTAGAAGGCTCTCGGAAATAGAATCGTCCCTCTCGGATGTAGTCAATGATATTTCAAGCTCAGATATAGATATTTTATCAGTCTTGCTCACTGAGACGCTATTCTTAGTTTTCCTTCTCTTCGACTTCTTCACGACCACAGGAGATTCCCCCAGTAGTTCCTCCTCCAGAAGAGACGATTCGAGGGAGTTTTTACGTGTTTTAGCATGGTTAACAGGCTCGGTAAACAGGTCGTCCTCGCCCAGCAGCAGGGATTCTTCGATCTCGTCGAATGATTGTTGAGTTTGAGGTTTGTGCTTTGGTTCTTTGGACTTTTTGGACTTTTTCTGCGATTTGGGCATATCACCTATTTAAACGTATATTGATTATTAATACGAAGAACAAAGATAAATATAAGTGTTATTTTGCATAAAATATTCCATCAATAATGACAGAACTAATATATTATAAGTTCTTTAGCAGAGAAAATTTCTGTATCGACTTCTGGTTTTTGCACAAACAGACTTGCAGATAACGTGCAATGTTGCTGATGTGAGAATTAGAGAGAACAATTAGGTTTCATATTTCAAACTCCACCACATGTTCACATATGTTGCAGGATAATAACTGTCGCTGAGAAGTCTCGGAAAAAATCAAACTCAAAATTCACGAAAAGTTTATCACAGACAGAAACCAATCATAATATATAGTTACTCTATGTTATTTAACTAACATAAGTTACTAAAAGACAAATCGTACGTAATTTTTTGGGATACCTCAATTTTAAACATTAAAATCGTTGAATATAAAATCAGCTTATATTTGATAAACCCTCTGAACAATTTAATATTTGTGAAAAACCCTAAAATTAATACAATAGATATGCGAAACATAATCTGTTTCATGATAAATTAAAACAATTATTTATAAAAATTTGTCTCATACAATTAAAATTATCAGGATAGAATTACAAAACAAAGAACAACAAAGAAACGACCACAGAAAGACCACAGATAGATAAACTATTTGGTTATACGGAAATCAGGGTAGAATGAAGGTTTAGATAACAGCATGGGCATCTTATTAAACTTCATTACATGACCAACTAGACATTAGACATGTAGTTACAAGCAAGAAAAAATGAATTTAGATAGAAAATGACTCAATAAAATAAACTTGAATAACTAGATAAAATTCTTTAAAGTAAATCTTGCCAATAGATTAGTTTAAAATAATGGCGACCTTTTCAGTTAACTCATATTGTAGTTAACTTTGGAGTGTCTCGTTAGAAAACCATTCAAGAAATCAACAAAAGCAACAATTTTAATTATAACAATCAAGACACATTTGACATTATATATCATGACACATTATATTTGACAGAGCATAGTGTGGAGTGAGCTATGTGCCCATCCTTGGAGAACCAGGTGGATGTCCTTGCTGTACGGCAGTGTTAAACAAGGAACTGAAACTGAGGGGTTCCGTTCACACTTTGTTTCTGTCTAGTTCTAATGTACCGTCACAATAGTGACTTTAATATATCATGACTTGAATTTTAGAACTACCACACATTACTAACACGTACAATTATTCAACTTATAAGTACTATAGACATAAATATAGCACGCTAACAGAACCAAACTTTCACAAATCAGACATGCATTTAAAAATCACATTTTACTCCTTCATCTACTTTTTCATCCTTAACGTCCACATACCACAAGCGCTTAAAGTTCTATTTTCTTGTACCTATCCTCTAAGAACATGTCTATTTCTCGACCGTAGAAGTTACTGAGAATGTTGCCACCGGGCCCGCCAGGTAGCACAGTTTCTAACACGTTTGTCCCCAGGTCTGTCACCATTTTCCACGCCTGACGAGGAGAGGTTAAGTGAGGTTAGGTGAGGTTAGGTGAGGTTAATTAAGATTAAGTGAGGTCAAGTAAAGTTAGAGGTAAAGGTGCGGCTGTGGCTTCTAGATATTATTGGGGCCCAGGAATCTAGATGGTATTAATAATTAATATGTTTGATATTAATTATCTGAGGCAGGAAGCAGGAAGGGTGGGATTGAAGTTATTGGTAGAACGGTGTGAACTTTCTTATGGTAATTCTGCTTAATACTGGCGAGTGGCGGGTCTATAAGCTTAGGATTATTCGGCCTTAAAATGTTTTGCAATATGAAAACGTATAAAAAATGTTGAAAAGTGAACGTAATATATGCATTTTGCATTGATCAGAAGTCGACGTAATATGTTGTCAACATTATACTTTATAGCTTTGAACTTTGAAGTGTATTCAAATACCTGTGAAATGTAGATAGGTCCACCGAACTGATTGTATCTGGGGTTTCCAACTTTGACACACTCAAAACAGTGTGATGTGGGCATGTCCTTCCTATCCAACCTGCAATAACGATATAAAACAGTGTGATGTGGGCATGTCCTTCCTATCCAACCTGCAATAACGATATCAAACAGTGTGATGTGGGCATGTCCTTCCTATCCAACCTGCAATAACGATATAAAACAGTGTGATGTGGGCATGTCCTTCCTATCCAACCTGCAATAACGATATAAAACAGTGTGATGTGGGCATGTCCTTCCTATCCAACCTGCAATAACGATATAAAACTAAAAACAGTGTGATGTGGGCATGTCCTTCCTATCCAACCTGCAATAACGATATCAAACATGGCGGCATTATTTCAACTTTTTAACATAAATTTCAGCAAATGCACATTGCACCGCTTTGAATTCGGCAGTGAAAAGTGTTATCCAAATATGTTAAAGATCTCAAAAGAATTATTTTAAGATCTCTTTTAAGATCTTATATGTTAAAAATTGACAAAAATTGAAAATATGCACAGTTGATGCAGTCAACATACCCGAGCCAAGACGGAAGCTTTCCGCCAAATATCATGTTATTTATCGTTATCTTTTCAATCTCACCATAATTCTCACCCTTTGGATTAGATGAATATTATTTGTAATATCATAACCAGTAAAACAGATCGAACAATTTCAGGAATGTGGCGGTCGAAGCATAAACAGTTCGAAAAAAACCCAACTTAATTTTGGGTATAAATCAGTACACTGTACAATGAAAGTGTCAAAGCGACCATCACAGTATACAGGGCGACATCCTAAAAGCTAATCACAGATTAAGCAGCAAGATTCCACAACACATCTATAATTTAATGAGATAATGAGATAATGAGATAATGAGATAATAAGATAATAAGAATTACCTTGTACTGGTCTAGAGTGGCCATGATGCTCTGTTTTATGACTGCAGGAGGGAGTAAGGTAACATTGTTGGATTCTACCACCCTGCTAACTAGTTTAGTCAGAGGGTACGCACAGTAGGTGATGTACTTCTCGGCTCGATCTGAAATAACACGTGGTGTGACGTCATGTCACGTGGTGTGACGTCATGTCACGTGGTGTGACGTCATGTCACGTGGTGTGAGGTCATGTCACGTGGTGTGAGGTCATGTCACGTGGTGTGAGGTCATGTCACGTGGTGTGAGGTCATGTCACGTGGTGTGAGGTCATGTCACGTGGTGTGAGGTCATGTCACGTGGTGTGAGGTCATATCACGTGGTGTGAGGTCATGTCACGTGGTGTGAGGTCATGTCACGTGGTGTGACGTCATGTCACGTGGTGTGACGTCATGTCACGTGGTGTGAGGTCATGTCACGTGGTGTGACGTCATGTCACGTGGTGTGACGTCATGTCACGTGGTGTGACGTCATGTCACGTGGTGTGAGGTCATGTCACGTGGTGTGACGTCATGTCACGTGGTGTGACGTCATGTCACGTGGTGTGACGTCATATCACGTGGTGTGACGTCATGTCACGTGGTGTGACGTCATATCACGTGGTGTGACGTCATGTCACGTGGTGTGACGTCATGTCACGTGGTGTGACGTCATGTCACGTGGTGTGACGTCATGTCACGTGGTGTGACGTCATGTCACGTGGTGTGACGTCATGTCACGTGGTGAGTCAGAGGGTACGCACAGTAGGTGATGTCTAAGGAATGTGAGGTCAGTGGGTTTAGAAGGTTCCTATTCCCCCGATTATCCCCCACGAATACCAAACACATATGATAAAGCTAAGCCTAAGACGGGGTTTAAAACGACTAATCTCTAGTGGTAACTGGTATGAACTATCACAGTTGTTAAATAACTGTATAATAAAATATGGATCTTTGACATGTGACAGTGATTTTGGGATTTGATTGGTCAATACTGGAAGCTGATTGGTTAAAATCTTGTTTCCGAAAATATCTAGATGTATTACCCGGTGAAAAGAATTGGTGTAGAATATTTGTTGTCAGTTTTTTGTAGAGGATCTTGAAGAAAGCGGCGGGTTTTGATTCAAGTTTTGAAACAAAGTCCCATTGCAGTAACTCCTTTTCAATATCTAGAGGGAATATTTGGTTACGACAATTGAATTATAAAATTTTGCAACACGAATCAATATTCAATAATTGAAATATGTAGTTCATGTATGTATATATCATACCCCGCATTCACAACATCTACAAATTAGTAAACAACGGCAAATTGACTAGATCATGGAACACTTGCAAATAAATTGATGAGGTCTTCAGTAAGAACAGCTTATTAAAGAAGCACAGAATTTTCAACTTAAATTTATGTCTGTTGTAAAAAAAGCTAAAAATCGCCAAGCAAACATTTCACAATTTTCCGAATTTACCTGAAGTTCCCAGGTAAGGAGCAACAACAGGTAGGATCTGTTCAGCTACGAGAGAGTGTGTGTCTGACTGGAATTCTTTGAAGTCTTCTGTTGAGAACTTATCTTTGCTCTGTAGCAACTGCTTTATCCTGTTGTTGATTATGTAATAACTTATTAATTGTGTAGAGTATAATCAATTATATGTTTATATCAATGATGAGTAAAACAGAGTTATGTTATTTAAAATTGCTCTAATTTTTTAATTCAGTACCAAATCATATCTGGTCTGAATTGATATAATACTTAAAAACGCCATATAAAAGGATAGTGTAAATAGAAAGAGTAACACGACATTCTTAAACTTAAATATTGCTAATATCTGAAAAGATGGAGCTACAATCCTTTGACAATTTGCGTTAACCTGTTAACCCTGTTGGGAAGTGCTGAGAAAGTAGAGACTATAGGTTTATCTGGATCCTGTATGTGGTTGTTTGCTGTGGTGAGGAAGCCCTCAGGCGGATTCACCACAGAGTGGTAGTCATCAGCAGACAGGTACCCCTGCCAGAGGTTTTCAGGTTTCCAGGCGGGTAGAGGTAGTAATCCAGTAGAAGTTTTCCTCGTAGGAACATTTCCTCCCTGATAATAAGATGTAATAATTAGGCTCACAAATTCAATTTATTCTTCATGCATTAAAGGACCAGTTAACTGAAAAATTTGTAGTCTCCAATTTGGCTAAGATTTAAATCAGCTGTGACAAACTGGTAAAGAATCGTATCGCCGAAAGAACCAACTCTCTAGCGTACGTGTAACGCGTGTTATTGCAATAATAAGCTGTGGCCTCGTGACGTCACGAAGTCCCTCAGTGCGCGCTGACATAGCGTAATACGTTGCAAATGTTTATCGTTGTCATTAAAACACGTGTAACTCACTCAAATTTTAGAATTATGACTATTACCCTAGTTCTCCAAAATCCTTAAAGTTTTGGCTATCATCCTAACTAAAGGAATAGCTGATTAGATGTACAGTGCTCACGTCATGATTTTAAACAGTGATATAGGTTCTTGAACAGTGGCGGGTGAATGTACGGTTAGAAAGTTTCTGATATTACAGTTCTTATGTCATATGTGATAATTTTGGATTGTTTTCATTGCTTAATTACACAAGCAGGGAGACTGTACCGATTATTTTTCTCCAGTCCATGAAACTCTAACGAATTTAGAAAGGATCTAGATAAGTAGGAGTTTGTTCAATTCCGAGAGCAATTATATTTATAGCATAGCGAAATTTCTAACTTTAAATCGTATGTGTCAGCCAGTACAGGAGACAAGAAGTCTGGCTACTTTACGGCCGTTCCTCTGGGACCATTAGTAGAAGTAGCTTCTATCAGAACAGTGCCGTGGGAACAGAATTCCCGCCAAAATATCCGGTCTACCAAATAGTAATAGTGATGGGAGTGTACGGTGTGCGATGTGTTTTGAATTAGACTTACGGCTTACCTAGTTGTTATCCTAATTGCATTATCATCGGTACATAACATAAATAAACTACTGGTTAGTTTAAATACCAAGTGCAAACGTGTTCAGTCAATCGACCTACTGAACAACTATAGAATTTCCAAGACCCTATTATTCTTTGGCCACATATTACGGCACGATCGATTGTTAGATGGTTAAACGACCAACGTTAATCTATACAATTCTAAAACTATGAGCTAGCACTTTAATCTAAAAATACACTTTTTATATTACTCCTGATTTTTACATTTCACGTAAAACATTGTCGCCACAGGTTTATCATGGACACTAACAGCTTAATTTGAGATAAATGACTTATGAGTTTCTCTAAAGTTAACTCTAAAGTTGTGTAGTCCAGTCATTTATGGACATTTATGGAAATGAACCTGCAAATGTTCAGATACTCACGAAACTTTGCACAGACCTTCCCGAAGGTATGAATAAACGATTTTCGTTTGGAGACATTTTTTTGACAGTGGAGAAAACCCAGGAGGGCCACGCCCATATTGACCCAATAACGTAATCGACCCCTTGTTTCTGAAGGTCGTAGAGACTTCAAAATAGGCTTAAACGAAGCCGCATATGCATGTTTATATAGGAGTTATTGAGCAACACATGGCCTAAAATCCTTACTTTTCGAGAAATTCGCCAAAAACCATTGTGGGCGTGGTGCTGAGCCCATTTTCGATAGGATCGTGATAGAGTCTTTAGACAGGGTGCAAAAGAACCGGAATTAGCATATTAATATATGACTTACGAACAAACATATGCCTTAAAGTGCTTACTTTTTCAGTTATTGGCGAAAAATTGATTTTCGGTTCCAGAAATCATGCAAAACTATGGGTATCTGGTAAATTGGGCTATGAAGGCCCTAAAGGTTTTTGAATGTGTGCAAATTGTGCAGAATAGCCATGTTTATATACAACTTATGAAGCAACATGTACCCTAAATTACTTACTTTTCGAGTTATTCGGGGAAAAACATTGTATTATGTCCATTTTCTACCTGTAAAATACAGTCTCACGAGCTCTTCTGCGCGCGCAAGGGACTTCGTGACGTCATCGCCAAAATAATACAAACGCTATTTACACGCGTTAGAGAGCAGTTAGAGATTTAGGAATTTCGACTCGTTGCTTAGTTTGCTATTTGTCACAATCTGTCAAAATATGAGGATAACTTTTTTTTCAGTTAACTGGTCCTTTAACATAAGAAACGTAAAAATATATCAAAACTTTGATCACTATTAAATACGAATAATAGGAATCTTTGTTACATTAAGAAATGTTAGAAGTAAACCTGCTGATAGGCTATATTCCCACTAGTATCTGCAAGAACATAATTAGTTCCTAATAAGTTGACTGCTAGTTTATCTTTCATCTCAAAGATATTTTTGGCTAAAACACCAGAAGATAGTAAATCTACCATAGAGCCATCAGCATCAGTAGTTAGAGCATACTTTGCAGCAAGATATCGTCCTGAGCCAATTGGTTTGTTTATGCTCTCCAGGCTTCTTTCAATTGTGTGGCCATCATTGGTATCGTAGAAGTAACAGTCTTTTCCAGCAATTGAGATAACTCTTTCCTTCAACGGGAGAAATTGTCCATCCCTCTCATAACGCATGTTGTCAATGTTTTCAACGAAATAATCAGACATATCAAGCATGCCAAATGTCAAACCCCAAGCAACATAGCTGCTTCTCCCCATGACTATTCCAGGGTTACCAGGTGCAGAAATTCCAATCACATTGAGACCATCCTCTCCAATGTACTGACTTTCATAAAAGATATTGGGATTGTTGCTGATATCCATGTGCGGATCAGTTCCCAAGATAGGAAAACCACTTTGGGATAGTTTCCCGGATACAACCCAATTATTGCTGTTTGTGAGTTTTGGTACATGAATGGTATTTTGATCACCCAGAGATCTAAAATCCTTGATGGTCTTATAAATTTCGATTAATTCATCATTGACATGATTCAAATGAGGCTCAAAAACCATCTTAAAGATTTCTAGTTGGTCAGTCTCCCTGGCAATCTCAAGTACAAGCTTTTCAACAATCAAGCAGATATCGTTAAGTCCTGCATAAGCAATGAACTTATTAATGGTCAGAACATCAGCAGCAACGAAAGGTTCAGGTACATAATTGAATAGTATGAATTCCAGTGGTCGAGGATGGGACTGTAAATAAGAGTTGATACCATCAACATAACCATCAAGTTGCTTCATTTGATCAGACAGAATGTATGGTAAACTTTTCAAAGAATAATCCTGAAAGTTCATTTGTCGGCTTTTGATGTCCTGCTTGTACAACGCCTCACTGTAAGGCAGATACTTTGTCAGAAGTCCTTGTGAAGCCAAACGAAAAATACAGATTTGAACATAGCGATCATGAACATGAGACCATCCCATGGCTTTGTACATGTCAACAACTGTATCTTTTCCTCTTGATACTAATATCATGTCTTGAGATCGCTCAAAAGTTATCAATGAGCCAGTTATATTTACAGTTTCTGACCATCCTGGATACTCATACTGCCAGTGAACTTTTAGAAGAAGAAATCCCAGAAGTGCACCCAGAAATATGCACAACTTTGCTTTAGCCATTCTTGATTTCAGATTATAACTGCCATTTTGATAACATGTGTATATATAATATGCATATCTACCAACCCTGAGAATTGAATGCTTTTAGTTACACTACAGAATACAGAATTAGAATGCAAAAAAGCACTGATATTATAGGATAATTGAATATAGAACACAATAGAGCTTCAATTCTAGCACAATGCTTAATATCAGACTCTTAAGCCAAAAGATTGTACGAATTTTGATCTTTAACTCTCTACACTGTTTGTCAGCTAGTGATAATCAATCAGTTCAGTAATTATCAATCAGTTCAGGGTATTCAGGAAAAAAAAAGCATAACATTGAACCAGTCACACAAATTATGAATGGCTTGTCGGTGGTAGAAATTATTCAAACAATATACACATAATTGTCACATTGACCCTATATAAAAACAACCCTTCAAAAAATCAATACATTCCCTATCTCAAATATTGGGAGAAAAATTTGAATATCAACCTTTGCCTTGTGGCTCCAAATTCAAATCTAAACTGTTTATATCAACAAAGTTCTTTCTCGCATGTCGGTGGTAGATTGGACAATTAGTAACCGAAAGGTTGCAGATTCAATCCCCCTCATTCGAGTACCATCATTCCTAGAATACTCTACTGAATCTACTCACAATTAATTCATTAGATTGAAATATTTTTAAAAAATAAATTGTTTCAAACAGTATACACATAATGTCACAATGACCCTATATAAAAATAACCCTTCAAAAATTCAATATTTTGAAAATCACCCTTGGCCTTGCGGCTCCAAGTTCAAATCTAAACTGTCTATATTGACAAAGTTCTTTCTTGCCCCTCTGTCTCCCCGGAGAGAAATTACCGTCGTTCTTAAGATTTCGAAACGAAGGCGCTTCCTAATGTATCCCACAGCATCTGAGTACCTCTGCCCTGTGTGGTATTCCATCTTACTAGCCAGCTTCTTTACTAGTCTTTCAGCTTCACCACCCATTCCACCAGACGTTGAGAAAACTAACAGCGTGAAGCTTCCTTTCTCTACTTCCAGGACCCTTGCATTGTAACACCGTTTTTTCTCATTTTCATGGGACTGGTACATTGCTGGGATCGATTTGCTTGCATTGGAGGGGGCTGGGGCATGGAATACCCTTACATCAAAAAATGCCCTCTCTGAAGCATTCCAAATCGATCTTGCAGAAATGTCCAGCCTAGCTTGGTCTCCTAGGACTGTTCCCTTTGGCAGCTCTAGGCCATCAACTGGAAGAAGAACTGGTTCAGTCTGCACATCCTTGCATTTCACAGTTCTCATTAGTTCTGCAAAGGTGTCTCTCAACGAGTTGTGCCGCAGTGGCACATATCCACCAAGTTTGCAGATGAGCGCATGGTTTGCTGAATATTTCTGGCCACACGTACATGTTTTAGGGCAATCCTTTAGGTTCAGGTTATATCTGAGCTCTATTGCGTCTGAGAACTGTTGTTTGTTCATCAGATATCCATACTCTTTTAAAGGTAGTGCTGTTAACCAAGCACTTGCCCCTTTCTCAGCAGCTAGTTGGAACATCAACTTTGCCAGTGGTATTGACTCAAGCTGCTGGCGTATTTCTGCTTGTTTTTGTAGATAGAAGAGATTCCGTTTGGTCGTTATTTCGGTTTTCACTCCTTTGCTGTGTTTCCAATCCTCTGTGTAGTTGTCTACCTGCTTGAGAATGGCTTCTTTTAGATGTTTTGTAGCTTTACAGGAGAATTTGTACTCTCGATCTGCCATGTCCATCATAACTGGAATACCTAATCCTCCATATCTTGGTGGTAGAGCCATCATGTTCCTTAGTTCATCAGTGCAGCTAAACAGTCTGTTGATGATAGCTGGGATAAATTCATCACGTGTTACTTGTTCCAGAGGAGTAAGCCTATCTGCAACTCCTGGGGTAGTTCTGCATACATAGTTCCATCTCTTACTACTTTTTTTTATTTTTTTTATTTGAAAATTCAATTAATCATTATATATATAAATCAAGCGTTACATTTCAGCCATGCAAAAATACAATGACATATTTTGATATACTAAATGGTAAATGGTACTGCAATATAAGTTGCTTAATGTTTGGCCGGATGACAACTAACGAGAAAAATAAACTTGATTATATAATAATTAATTCGGCTGAACCAACACATAGCAAGAGCCACATTAACGTTGGGGCCGTCTACTTTTTAATACTTTTTAATACTTTCAACACTACTATATAACAAATAATTTGAGTTCAGGGATGGAAAACAAGGACGGGCAAAAGGGGCACACTGATAGTGCCCCAGCCAGTAGAGAACATGTAGAGACGAATGAACAAGCTGAAAAAGAAAGTACTAAACCTGAAGAAGATTGTTTCTGCAAGGAACACATCGATGATTCTCTATGGATCAGATGTGATTATTGCATTAAATGGTGTCATCTTGATTGTGTTGGACTGACAGGACTTGACGAGGATCAGGTGCTTTTGATCAAACAATATAAGTGTCCACACTGCATTGTCAATGCGACAACAGTGCTGATTAAGTTGAGTGAAACCATTAATGAAACGGTTACCAATGCTGTTAAAAACAGTCTGCAGAACGAGTTACCCACAGCAATGGCTGCTGTCAAAAAAGATATAGTCAATGAATCATCCTCAAAAGTGAAGAGCTACGTTGATGCAGCAAAGGTTGACCTCCAGGCAACTATTAGTGACAAGCCACCAACTCAATTAGTGAATGCAACAGTCCAACAGATTGATGCTGACAAGATCCAACGGATCAAAAGAGAATGTAATGTGATCATTAGACATGTTCCCGAAATGGCTATCAAAGAGAACAGATCTCAAAGCAATGATCTCAAGTTTTTACATGAAACCTGTGGCATGGAAGAAGACGTGATTGTGTCCTGTTTTCGGGCAGGTAAATTAACTGAATCTGGTAAAAGCAGGGAACATCAACCTAGACCGCTGATTGTAAAACTAAAATCAAAAGAGGCTGCACTATATTGGAGTAACTATGGAAAAGGTTGGAAGATAGAAGTGGATTCTGAGAAAGTAAAGAAAGAAGTTTTTTGGATCAATCAGGATCTGAACAGAGCTGACAGAGACGTCCAATTTTTTGTGAGACAGGAACGGAGAAAGCGACTTGCAGAGAAAGCAAAGAATGCCTAAACCTTAAATTGTTTTACAGTAATAGTAATAGTTTATATAATAAGTTTTGTGAATTGAGAAATGCTGTTTCGCTGTACCAGTCTGACATTGTTTGCATAAATGAAACTCATTTTAACAATGAAATTATTGATGCTGAAATTAGCATACCTGGTTTCAAAATATTTAGAAAAGATAGAGATTTTACAGTTAATGAAGAAATAGGAGAAAGTTCTGTTAGTAGTGGTGGAGGCTGTATTATTTATATTAAAGACTCTTTGAACCCAGTTGTCATAGATTGGTTTAGGGTCACTGATTCGATTGCTGTTGAATTCGATAGCAACATTGGTAGGGTAAATATTGCATGTATTTATAGATCAATGTCTCTTTCTAAAGCGCAGAACAATGCGATGACCAAAATGATTGGAAAACTAGCTGTTTTTAATGTTGAATCAATCCTAGTTGGAGATTTGAATTTACCAAATGTATCTTGGCTTAGTGGAACTGTTAATGCTCCTTTAGGAACAAGTAATAAGGGTTTAATTATAGAAAAGAATTTTATGGAATGTGTACAAGACAATGGCTTGGTTTGGTATATCACAGATGAAGTTACCAGAGGCAACTTGGTCGTTTACCACCTGACAGTCTATGCAACGTCTATGCAACGTCCGTGCAACAACAAAAGAACCGTCTATGCAACGTCTATGCAACGTCCCTGCACAATGAACACTCTATGCACACTCCCTGCACGGTCAGTCTATGCAACGTCTATGCAACGTCTATGCAACGTCTATGCAACGTCCCTGCACAGTACCATATGAACACCGGCTACTAGCCGGCTACTAACTGGCTAGTAGCCACTTTTGTAATAACAGCTCCTCAACTTCACATTAACAACCGGCTACTAACCGGCACTTGAAAAGTGGTCACTAGCCGGCTACTAACCGGCTACTAGCCGGCTAGTGACCGCTTTTCAAGTGTCGGCTAGTAGCCGGTTTGGAACTAGAAGGTCCGCTTTAGAGCCGGCTAGTGACCGGTTAGTAGCCACTTGGTGGTTACTAGCCGGTTAGTAGCCGGTTAGTAGCCGGCTAGCGACCGCTTTTCGAGTGCCGGCTAGTATGTCCGCTTAAGAGCCGGCTAGTGACCGGTTAGTAGCCGATTAGTAGCCACTTGGTGGTTACTAGCCGGTTAGTAGCCGGTTAGTAGCCGGCTAGCGACCGCTTTTCGAGTGCCGGCTAGTATGTCCGCTTAAGAGCCGGCTAGTGACCGGTTAGTAGCCGGTTAGTAGCCACTTGGTGGTTACTAGCCGGTTAGTAGCCGGTTAGTAGCCGGCTAGTGACCGCTTTCTAAGTGCCGGCTAGTAGCCGGTTTGGAACCGGCTACTAGTAGGTCCGCTTAAGAGCCGGCTAGTGACCGGTTAGTAGCCGGTTAGTAGCCACTTGGTGGTTACTAGCCGGTTAGTAGCCGGTTAGTAGCCGGCTAGTGACCACTTTCTAAGTGCCGGCTAGTAGCCGGTTTGGAACCGGCTACTAGTAGGTCTGCTTTAGAGCTCGGCTAATAGCCGGCTAGTGACCGCTTAGTAGCCGGTTAGTAGCCACTTTGTGGTCACTAGCCGGCTAGTAGCCGGTTAGTAGCCGGCTAGTGACCACTTTTCAAGTGCCGGTTAGTAGCCGGTTGTTAATGTGAAGTTGAGGAGCTGTTATTACAAAAGTGGCTACTAGCCGGTTAGTAGCCGGCTAGTAGCCGGTGTTCATATGGTACTGTGCAGGGACGTTGCATAGACGTTGCATAGACGTTGCATAGACGTTGCATAGACTGACCGTGCAGGGAGTGTGCATAGAGTGTTCATTGTGCAGGGACGTTGCATAGACGTTGCATAGACGGTTCTTTTGTTGTTGCACGGACGTTGCATAGACGTTGCATAGACTGTCAGGTGGTAAACGACCAACTTCCCTTACCAGACGT